AAAAGCTGTGTGAAGTACTTTCAGGGAGTTTCTGTAGATTTTCCTGCAGGTTTTTAGTGGTTCCTAGCATTCATTACGTTGAGACTGCTGTGGGTTTACCCTGATGTTAGCCTTTGGTTTCCAACACTTGTTAACTAGATCAACTCATTGCCACTGACTCCCTGAATAAATGTATTTTCCCTCCTTTAGGATTTCTCATTTTTCCTGTATTTAGTGAGACAGTTCAGGAAGTATCAGATAGGGATGAGTGAAGAGAGAAAAAAATCCTCATCTGTGGCGTGATGCAACATGCCAAGGGAAGTGTGTGTGTGTGTACCCATGTGCACGTGCTCATGTATGTACAGGCATGTGTGCACTTGTGCATGTGTGAGAAGTGAGGTCTTGTGGGATGTTAGGAAATTGGCTTTTATTCTATATCAGGAGCTGCTTAGCTAGAGATCCAGCCAAGAGCACCGAGTGCCCAAGGAACGCCCTGAGGACACAGAGTGCCCCAGGTGAACAGGTGGTCCAGCCTGGAGGATATGGGATATGAGAGGCAAGTGAGTTCTTAGGCAGAGGGGTTTCACCTGCATCAACTTTCTAGATGTATAAATAAATGCAGTGTGGTGGTTGAGCAGTTCCTTTCCTCCCACCCAGAGAGACAGCTCCACCAGAAGGTGGAAGCAACCCAAGTGTCTGTGGACTAATGCATGGATAAACAAAATGTGGTATATACACACAATGGAATATTATATACCCGAAGGGAAATCTTGACACACACCAGAACATGGATATACTAAAGACATTATGCTAAATGAAACGATCCAGTCACAGAAAGGTAAGTACTATGTATGATTCCACTGACATGAAGAACTGGGAGCAGTCAAATCACAGAAAGTGGAGGTGGCTGCCAGGAAAAGGTAAAGGGGAGAATGGGTCTATAGTGAATGCTACTGAACTGCGCAACTGAAGATGTTTAAGAAGGAAATTTCATGTTATATGTAGTTTACCACAGCTTAGAAGATGTAGCAGGCAGTGAAGAGAGCCACACTGTATTGGTCACATATCTGATTCAGATGCGCCCAGTGTGAGGAGGGTCACAGGGGACTGTTTTGGTGTGTGCTTCACAGTAACGTGCTTGGCACTGAGGTACAGTTACTGGGTTCAAAGGCTCAGGACACCAGTAAGTAGGAGGTTCTTTTTCATGCTTTTGTTCTTCTCATTCACTGCAAATAAGTATTCTTTTACCTCCTTTAACAACAAGTGCAAGTTCTGAGCCATGCAAATATAAACAACTCTTGGAGAGGGGAAGGCTGATGTTTTCTAAGTGGGTGTTTTCTTCCAAAATAAAAAGCAGTAGCAAAAATAAACCCTTGCTACATTACTACGGAATGGCATAAGAAGAGGTGAAAGTTCTCAATCGGCTGCCACTGAGAACACCCTTCTAAGAAATACACACTTAGAGCTGGCAAGGCCCCTGGGGCCCATCTGCACGCACCCAGCACTGCCCTAGGGTGGCAGACTCCCCCGACAGGGATGCAGTTAGGCTCCTGATGAAGAGCATACCCTGCATTCTTTCTGAAAGTGCCAGTCACCATACACCCTAACCACCCCATTCCCGTTTCTGGGAAGTGAACCCAAGGGCCTGGGTGCTAAGCCCTTTAAACCCTACCCCTTTAAAAAAAAAAACTGAGACGGTCTTGGTGAGTCAGTCATTAATTTGTCCAGGTGGGGCCTGAATTTGTGATTCTCTTGCTTCAGTCCTAGAATGTGCACCAAGACTAGTCCATACCCCTTCTCTTAAAGCTGCATTCTGGCAAGATACAGCCATGCAAGGGTAAGAGTGATTCTTCAAATTCAACTTCTCCCAGAGCCACTATCTGGTTTTGGGCCACGGCAGCAGGCAGGACACAAATGGGCAGTGTGGGGACACATTCAGTGTTCTGGACACAATGAGCCAGTGGACCAGATGGAAGGACCTCCTTCCATGACTGGTGACAGATTTCCACCTGTAGGCAGAAAAGCTAGCAGAGTCTAAAGATTCATGCACTACCCTGCACAAATACACAGTGTGGAAAGTTGGTGACACAGACAACTCTGTGTTACACAGCCAATCTCCATTCCCAGCCACCTCTGCTTGGGCACTGTTGCCATTAGGTGCCCAGCATGTAGCTGAATGCTCCAAGGCCATCATGTAGGGCAGCTCTTGGTTATGAGGACAGAGAAGACCGACAACACAGACAAGGAGTGTAGCATTCTAAACGGGATGTTTAGAATTGGCCTCATTGGAAATATAAACATTTGTGAGATTCCTGTTTACTTTCTGTGATCAAGAATAAGTAAACAGAAGAAAGTTTGTTGAGCTGAGACAGTGGGGGTCACTTGGATTTACTGGTGATTAGAGGCAATTATCTGACATCTATTTCCACAGTAAGTAGACTTCACCCCAAGGCAGTGTGAGGAAACTGATGGCTCCCTGTATGAGCTGCCCCTTGGCACACTGAGGGCTCAGACACAGATCTCCAAGTCCAGACCTAGCCCTGGACTCTGAGATCATGGCAGACAGCAGAAACCACAGACACAAATAAGACTGGTTGAGCACAAGGACATGTGGAATTTTGATTCTATTTTAGTATGCTCAGTGTCTGCTGAACTTGTGACTGAGTTGCTATGAGATAAAAGAATGGCAGACGAAGCAGGACCAGAGCAGTGTCAGACCCCAAGAAGGCTGGCTGTCTACAAAGGGCATCTGGAGAGGAACTTTCAGACTGACAGCTGTTTGTCACAGGGCAAGTTCACTGAAGAAACCCTTTTCTGGTAAGGATGCATTTTGTGAGGGCAGAGTATGACTGTGAAGGACAGAGAGCAATTTTGCAGTGCTAGAACATCATGGAAGTTAGAGACAGAAACAGAATGGTATATACAAATCCAACCTCCATCAGAATTTTTCAGGACAAAGTCAAGCATGGTAAATACATAGTTCTTTCCCCTTAGCTAGCCTGCAACTGTAAACACCAGTTTAAGTAAGAAGTAAGAACGTACCACGGGAAGGCTCACACAAAAGAAGTCCTTCAGAAAGAGGGTTACGTGTAGCACGTCGTCAAGTTTATCAGCCTCCTTGGGAGGTTAGAAGGACTGGAGCAAAGAAGCTGTCCTTTATTATCTACTCAAAGCCAAGGATTTAAAATACGTTACACAACATCAGGTAGAGAAGCAGCATGGAGATGGAGGGCATCTTCAATCACAAAGATAGGGCCAAAGATAGGAGAGAAGAGTGCATCAGAGTCCACTCAGCTCTGTCTGAACTCAAGCTTGTGTTGTGGGAAGTCTGATGCTGCACTGGACACTCTGACAAGAAATGAAACTGGACCCCTTAGCTCTGGGCCAAAATCTGAAAATTCTCTGCCTTTCTCAACAGATCCCAGGAGAAATAAGTCTGTTTCTTCCTGTTTCTCACTGAGGTGACAGTGAGTTCATACTTAGGCTCCCAGGGAGTCAGGGCTTGGCTGGACCTATAATTAATGAGGTGAGCTAATCAGTAGTTGCATCCTGTGTGGCTGCATTTAGCTCCAGGGATGACTAACCCCGCAGCTGGGGGGACGGTCTCAGACTGTATCCTGATGAACATAAGGAGGGTGTCAAGGGCAAGGGATGGAAGTCACTAGAATGCTCTAAAATTAACAGAAAAGAAATTGAACATGGCAGACCACAGAGATGTTCTCTCAGGAAGGGAAAACAAGGAGCACACACCAAATCTGGGAGAATGATCCACAGGCAAGTACTGAAAAAAAGGACAATGACACAGAGCAGCTCAAGGGTGCAGGTCTGACCCACCCCCAGCTTCTGTCAAGTGACAGACCGGTGTTTCTTTAAAAGACTTAAAGGTTCAGGCAGCACTGCAATGAGACAGAAGATTAAGCCAGCACTATGCAATAAAAATGGCAATACAGCCTGTACACGTACACCCAGATTTTCTAGAAGCCATATTAAAAAGTAAAAATAAGTATTCTTTTCATGGTGCTAGGGATGGAAGCCAGGGTCTTGCACATACTAGGTAATGGCTCTACCTGTGAGCTATCCCCTCAGCCCACGGAACAGGCAATGCAATGATACATTCAGCCCACTCTATAAAAAAGTCCTTTCCACATGTAGAGTAAGGACACACTACTTGCCATGTAAAACCCTGGCACGCTGTACACCAACAGCGCACCTCCATCCTGGTAAGCGCGCGTCTGGGGCTCAGAGCCCGTCTGTTTGTGGCCGCTGTGGTGAGACGTTGGGGACAAAGCTTTGCAGACTCTGTGGGAACCTGTCATTGTCCTGCTCCAATTATCTTATCTAAGGAGCCACCTGAGAAGGCCAAGCACTGGGGTCTTTCTCCCAAACGCTCTGTCATTCCAGTTTAAAAGCACTTCTTCCCAAAGTGCCTCTCTGCAGATCGCAGTACCCAGCGGTGTCTGCTGTACCTCACCTCTCAGGGCTCTGCACCATGCCCTTTCCAGGTGGGCAGCTGTGGATCCAGGACATCCTGCGATGGTTTTTCAAAAGCTATAAACATGGAGTGGTTCAACTCTCAGGCCTGTATATTTGATTTCCTAGAATTTAAAACTAACAAAAGAAAGAAACTACCACCCCCTCAAAAAAACAAAACAAAAACAAAAACAAGAACCTGCCACATGAAAACCTGATTCAAGAGAGCTGAGTGCACTCCCAGTGCTCCCACTTGGCACTTCCCTGGCTTCAGGGCCATGCCTTCTCTTCCTTCCCCATGTATGAATGATGCTGGTTACCCCCAAAGTAGCGCCTTCCTCTTTTCCAAGCTGACATCATATCACTTGCTACACTACCACCTCAGGAAAGGAGGAGGTCACTTATTATTTCTAAACATCAGCTGAAATCCTCATTCCCACTCAGCTCTTGATGGATCAAAAATGTCCAAGGAGCCAGAGAAAACGCACTGACTGTGTGACGGATCCAGAGAGTACCAGCGGCGGGATCCACTGTTCTCTGCCTGGCCCTACCTTTGTGGTTGAAGATGCCCTCCATCTCCATGCTGCTTCGGGAATGAGCGATACACAGAGAGCCGCAGGGGACCAGGCCTTCTGCTGCAGGGGACCGGTCAGTGGTGCGCACCAAGCACCAGTCGGGCTTGTCATGAGGCCGCTCCAAGACTTCCACTGTCTGTCCACGCCGGATGGTCAGCTCGTTACTGTTGCATGCTGTGAAGTCGTGGATCACTACCGTCAGCTCACAGCCACCAGAGAGCTGGAGAGAAACAGAGGAAGAGGGACAGGTTAGCAAGCACAAGCCGCAGGACTCCCTCAGGTCACAGCTGTGACTCAGGTCAGGACTCAGCTGACCACCTGGGGATAGAGCAGAGCCATGCTTCCCCTTTGGGGCCTTGGGAACATGCAGATGGTTATGTGCCTTTCAGGTTTGAACCTCAGTTGTTCACTGCCAGAATGTAGTGTGCTTTGCCATGAGCGTCTATATCTTTGTACCTGAGAGGGTGTATCCTTTGCCTCGATGGCACTCACTTTCAACAGAGAGTAAGCTAATCAAACTTAGACTACTGGATTACTGTGAAATATGATGAGAAAATGAGGTAACACGCCACTCCAAATTCTGTTTGCCACGGTGACTGGGCCTTGCCTATGCTGCAGTAGATGACTCCCTAGGCATCGCATCGGAGGGAGCAGCAGACTGAAAAGATGACAGGCTGGCCACCCGAACCTCTCTCCTCAGGACCCCCCTGAGGGCTCCCTCTCGTTTTGCATTTCACCACTGGATTTCACAATGATCCCCTATGTAGCCTGCAAGCAGGTTTTATCGGTTGCTGTGAGTTAAAAAAGCCAAGCATATAGCACTTTTTCTGGGAGCAGATGGAATGGCCAAGGACAGACTGAGAAGCTCCAGTGAAAACTGTATCCAGTGCTCTCAGTGACCTGCTTGGTGCACTGCTCCTGGCCCTCAACCCTTTGGACTCCAGGCCCATTTCCTGGCCTTCCCACATCAGGCCTTCATCCCCAAGTTCCTTTCTCTTCTTTCCGCTCACTATGCTCACTCCATTTTCTGCCAAATGACACTCTCCCAGGCCTCCACTGTTACTGCTGTGGATGGGCATGGCTTCCTGTGACCTTTGCCCTGTGTGTCTTCTCCTGGGAGTGTGAGTTGTAAACTCACCAGTATTTCTCCTGCATATGAGTCCAGGGGCCGGCCCTGAGACCCCGGGTGGCCCCAGGTTCTGTCTCTCTCCCCATTGCCCACACCACACCTCACACTGACAGCCCCGTGCTTGTATTTACTGCTGGGTAATCTGGCATTCTGTCCTCTCCAACCCAAGCAGTGAGGCTGGCATAGGACCCAGTATGCCCACTCCCATCTGCTCCTCTTCTGTTACCTTAGTACCTTGGGCGTCACTGCGAGTCACCCTGGTCCAACCAATTTCAATCTTTTTCTCCACCTCCAAATGCTGTCAACCTGGTTCCAGAATGACCTGGCGATGACCTTCTTTCCTTGGACACACACCAACCGTTTCACCTGGGGCTCTCCAGCGAACTCTTATGTGGCCTTCCTGATTGATTCCAGGCTTCTCTTCATGGTCATCTCAACACCACTGTCTCTCCTACTCCAAAACCTTCTACTCCAAAGCCCCCGGCACAAGTTCCTTGGCAGAGGGTCCATGGCTCCATCCTCCTCAGCAGGCTCATGTACTCATGGCCAGAAGTGTACTTCTGCTGCTTCTGAGGTGGTCCTGCATGCTTATAGCCCATGGCACCCCTGGGCTGAGAGCTCCCACTGCCCTAGTCCGTTGGTTCACTCTAGCCTGTGCCCACTGGGAAGCCTCTCCCACACCTGCTGTGCTCAGCACTGTTTGGCAGCAATAGACACTGCAATTCTGAAATGAGTGCTGCCTGCTCTCATCACCAGAGAGCAGGTCTGTGTCACTTTCCTGGGGACTCCAGTGCCTGGACCATGAGGACAGAGACAATGCTGACTGTGGACCACACAGAGCGCCCAGCACACCACAGCAGGCACAGTATTGCTGGAGCAGCACCAAAAAGTAGAATCCCTTAAGGCCTGCCTTGCACCAGACACTTGCTTAGTTTTTGAAGTATTCAAATCCTTCCTGAAAATGACCCAACACTTGCTCTAATGAGGAGGCAATGCTTTTGAAACACTGACGTGGAGCACGGTTTTCTCTCAACTTGGGGAGCTAGCTGTGTCCGTGTTTCATCTGCACAAAGCCCCATCCCATCTTCATGTCATCTGAAGGCTGCAGCAGTGCTGGGGACACACTCCCTGTGTGTGTGAGGGGTAGGGGAGAGGCAGCCAGCCTCCTGTCCCCAGTCTCATGGATGAAGGGCACACCTGGGAACTGGGAGTTTGTGTCTCCTCCAGCAGCTCACGCCCCCCGAGCTGCACTCCAGGCTGCTGCCCATGCTGAGGGCTATCTGCCACCTTCTGTCACGCTCTGCAATGTCAACTGTCCTCTAACAACCTGCTCTTAAGAGAAAATTCGGAGGTTTATCATGAGGAACACATGTCTGCTAGACAACCACAAAGAGCAAAACAAAATAAAACTCTTCCACCACAAATATCGACAAAACGAATCATCTTTGCTAGGCCACAAAAACAGTGTCCATAAATGTTTAATTCTCTTCTAAATCTTGAAAACTTCTCTGTGGGGAAACTACACTGATTTTTACACATATCTCTGCTCAAAAATGCTAATGTGAAAAGGCTATGGTGGGGGCCAGTCTGGAAAAGAATTTTCCTCACAGAACGCCACATTAAGAAGTAGTTATCCTTGTAACGAACAGAAGCAAAGCTCCTTGTTGCAGGGAAAACTGGGCCAGTAAGGCAACCCCAACAGAGTCCAACTTGCCACAGCCCGAGACCTGCCCTTCCAGGCCGTGGAGGCCCTGCCTCAGCTTCCCGAGGCGAGGCGGCTCCCCTGACTTTTCTGCAGCAGTCCCGGTGAGGCCCTCAGGAGGACACCACCTCATCCGGGTCTTTGCTGCCTTTGTTCTCCAGGGTCTTAACTCTGCAAGCTGCTTAGAGCCAAGTAAGAGTTCTGTGAGTGGTGAAAGTGTGGGAAAGGAAAAGAGGGGCTGCCCGAGAAGGAGAATTAAGTTAAGACTTTATTTCTGGCACTGATTTTTTTTTAGCCCCTTACAGAGTAACCAAAAATGATTGGAAACATCTGTGTACTTGACAGAGGGAAAGAAATACAAATCAAGCCTGTTCCGACCAAAAATCCCATGTATCAAATTAAAAAATTTTAAAGGTTTTCTAGAACCTTATAAAAAAAATTTAGTACCAGAACAATACTTCAAATGGTGGTAAAATTATCACCTTAGAAAATCTTCATATCGCTCACTCAACTGGTTTTACTCATAAGAAGAGATACAAATCATATCCACATCATTAAGGGAAAGATTAAATGGATGTTTTTTCCGGAGAAGAACTGTCCTGTGGATTTCTGTCTCAATGTTCACAATGAGGTATTTTAAGCTTTTTGCTACAAAACTTCTCTTTTGTATAAGAAAGTTGTAGTAAATACTTTAAGAAACCAATATAAATCATTACTGTTTTTAAAGAATTAAATTCCCCACCAGACATTCAGCTAACAGGCTGCACAGCATTAAGTATGTGGGAGACTTATTCCCAGTAACATTTCCCCGCTCAGTGACTCAGTGTCTGCACTGCGCTGACAGTCCCCATTTCATCTTCTCTAACTTAAAAATTCATTTTCTCAGTTACCGTTTCATTTTCTCTAATTTAAAACTCACTTTTCTTTTACAGCCATATTTTATGAAAGTTGTCACAGTACAGTACCTATTTCATTTTTTTTTCCGTTTTCCTTTTTATGTATTTTACAGACTTCTATCATGGACTCCCTGCCACACACATTTAGTCTAAGAACACAGTTATTCTATGACTCACATTAACACTGGTGAACACACATCCAAAGATAGATTAAAAAATCTTTTGGCTTTTCACCTTTAAAACATTACTGTGGTGACTAATAAGCATGCCCATGAGATGGCAATCAGCAGACCACAGGCCACAGACTCTGCCAATGAATTGCCCCAGACACACGGATAATTAGCAAACCAAGCCAGGGCCCCTCTCCCTGGCTTCCCTCCAGGATGACTGAAAAGAACAATTTGCTGTGTGTCACACAAACGAATGAAATACTTGAAATATTCTGGTCATTGTGCATCTTTAACAATCACTACACAATTCTATTTTTCACGTAACAAAACAAAACCCAACAGCAAAGGAAGTTCTATGGTTGCACTGCCTCAACCTTTTAACGGTGTTAATTGAAACAGGCCCCAGTGTGGCTGGGAAACACTCCCACTCCCAGGGCGGATGTAGAAACAGCCTTCTCTTGCTCTTCACAAAGCCCCCCTCTCTGGTGTGATATAATGAGGTAGTTTTGTGTTACAGGAACACATATTTCTTGATAGACAACAGCAAATACCTGGTTTGAATCACCAACCTGAAATGCACTCTGGACAGATGTAGAGGCAGCATCGGGTCTTTAAAGTGCTGTAGTATTGATGCAGCTCTCCTGCAAATGATGCCATTTCAGGAACCCACAGCCTAATGCATTGGAGGTCAACGGCAGGTAGGTATCTGGCCAATTTTTTGAGAGCAATTGAGAAAAAGAGGGGGAATATGGTCTAACAAAAGCTGTTTTCTACCCTAAAGAACAAAGTATATAAACTCATATGAACAGTTGTACCCTACAGTCTGCTTCAGAAAACTCACAAAAGACTCTTGTAGTTTTATGAAGGTTTCACACAGAGGAGCGCAAAAAAGATTACTTGGTTAAAGGGGATTAGTGAGTACAGCTCCATTACTGGCAATGGTCACAAAAAGCCGACCATAGGCAGCTGGAATGATCCCCAGAACAAATGCAGTTACACCCCAGGTTCTCGCCCACAACTCCACAAAGGCGGTGCTTATTAGCAGCCATCATACAACACTGACAACAGGCCTCCTGCAACCAGGCCAATGCCAACTCCAATGCTGGTACTTGAGGCCAAGTTCAAGGAGAAGCACTTACTAAGTTCTCCTGCTGGGAGTTTAAAAGATAACTACTGTGGGAAAAGAAACCTGGGAGAACTTAAAAATAGTTATGATGGGAAATTTTGTTATAGCATTTTATCAAAATAAAAAAATGTCCCAAAAATCTACCAAAAAAACCCAAAAAACATAAAGAACTTTTCAAAACCAGCAGCTTACCATATCCTACATTTTATCCAAGAAAGAATTGCTAAGTGCAGTAGTCAGAGATCTTACTTTGTTTTTACTACCATAATCATACACTGGTTTTGTGATATAAAAAGAAATCTAGGAAAGCTTCCTTTAATGGGTGATAGATATGATCTGGAACATAACATTAGAAGAAAGAAAGGCTTACTTTAAAAGAGACATCTAGAAAGGCAGACTTTAAAAGTAAAAGGGAAAATCAGACAAGGCCAGCTCCTAAGGCCAGGCCTTAAGGGTGTGCAGAAGCAGGTCTGGACCAATGGTATTTCCCCTCCTCTCTAACACACTAGTGCAAGAGACACGGGATGCCCAGCTCTGTTCCTCCTTGCTATTGTTACTTACTTGTCTTTTTAGTTTCTTGTTTTTCTAGTAATTTGTTTTTCCCTCTAATGCAGAAAGGATAGATGTCCATGTAGAGGCTTATATATGCCTAGAACTTCTCCTAAACAGTTTACAAGAATCGATCATGTCATGCATGATGAAATGACCAGCTACTTCGAAGAAAAAGAGACATCATGGTATCCATTGCTGATTCTGTAACATCATGCTGTGAAATCCAGTAATTCTTTTATTTTTTGTTGAGAGTGGTTGTCTGTTTTGTATTATTTAATTTCAACATACATGAAGGTATGGGCAGCTATTTTGAAGAGAACAAGAGACATTATGGTAGCCATAGTTGTTTTCCTCTTGTCTGATTTTGAAGGCCTGTAATGCCTTCATTACTGTTTTGATCAGTTTTATACTATTTTGTTTTGTATGAATTCATTGTGTGTTAAGATATAGACAACTATTTAGAAGAAAACAAGAGACATAGGGTAGCTACTGTTGCTCTCCTGCTAGCTTGCTTTGAAATCTGTGTTACTTACATTGTTTTCTTATGATTTGCTTTATTCTGTTTTACCCTCATTAAAATAAAAAAAAAAAAAAAAAAAGAAAAAAAAAGAAAAGCTCTGTTCCCCCCAGGACCTGCCTCCCATTTGTAGATTCTGGAAAATAAGCTTCTTAGGACAATTTTACTGCAAAAGCCTATTTGCTGGTTTTCTCTGTAAAACTAACATTGGCCAGTCATCCTGGGCATCTCACCGGGAAGGAAGAGCCTTAGTGTGAGTCAAATTTCATCATCATCTTCAAAAGTAATTTTGATTATGTCCTATAAAATTTATACTTAAAAGCATTTTTCAGTGCCTTACAAAATATTTTTATAAACTTTTTAATCTGTTACATTTCTAACCAAACTTAATTTCTTTAAAAGCTGCCTTTTCTTACAACTGAAGTTTCTACATTAGCTTGGAGGATTTTGTTTTTTTGACTGGGTGAAGTTACCAAAGACTGTTCCTTTAGGGTTTTATGAAAGTACTTTAAAAAGTCATATAAGGAAATGCAACAAAAAAGCACAATCGCTTAGAAAAATAGAAAACAAAGATTAGCAAATGAAGGAAACAGACATCACATGTAATCTATAACTGCATCTACCATGAGGGAGACTTACACTGAGTGACCAACCCATAGCTTAGCTGTGCATGAATGAACCTACGAGGTGAATGTCCTGAGGCTGTATCGTGGTCACTCTGCCAGGAAAGTGTGTTGAGCAACAGCCACACTCTCTGCCCACTCAACATGGTCCCTATGTGCTGGGAAGTCACTCAGGTGTGCAAGGCGAGGCACCAAAGTTGAGTAATTCACTCCTAGGACACTTCTAGCTCCTAACAAACACAGGTGGCTTCTAAATTCACTGTGACAAAATTTAAATTAAAACTCTACTGTGACCACAGGCATTAGAGAAAGACAATGCACACAGTAATCACTGACAGCAGTGGAGGTCAGTTCAAGAGAGTGAGGGGCAGGATTCCATCAGTTATCAACAGGCAGCCGATGCTCACGGGGCTCCAACATGCTAGGCACTGTGCTAAATGCTGTGTACCTGTGTCGCTGCTTGCAGTCCTGAGAGGGGAGTAGTATTATTGCCCCTGTTATAGATGGGGAAACTGAAGCACACAGATGTTAAGTAATTTGCCCATAACCAGCTGTGAAGGCACAGAAATACACTGAGAATACCCAGAAACTAGAAGCATGCTGGTAAGCGCATCCTTACACACTGCATTGCTTGTGCTTATACTGAGAGCACAGAAAGATCAGCTGAGATTTGCAGTGCTATGTCAGAGGAGACAAAACCCACGCCAGCTCCTGGAAGACCTGAAGGAAACAGTTTCACACTTCTACAGGGCAAACCTATACAAGGTCCGGGAAATTCAGTGTTCTGAGCTGGCCCCAGGTCGAACACCTCCTGTTCAGGCAGGGGAGGAGAGAGGACAGCTCTGTGTGCAGAGTTGCGGGTGCAGGCCCAGGGCTCTGCCTCCAATCAGCAGGGGCCACCGTGTGCCTTCCTTTGCCTGCTAGATGACAAAGGGAGGCAAAAGGCAGGGACCTGGTGCTTCCGCAGTGGGCTGGACTCGGGTTCGTTCACACAGATTCACTTCTTTTCTCAAGACCCTGAGTTGTGCTGCATTTTAAAATGTATTGGAATGGACTGTTTTATATACTATCTGGACTGTGGTTTACCTACAAAAGCTGACTTTTCAACCACAGAGAATCCAAGCCTCCAGCAGTGCCAGAGCTCTATTAAGTAACTACTTTTCTTTGTTTGTTTGTTTATTTTTTAATCTGTGGATTCTTATATTCATGCTATGAACTTGGATGGAGGTCATGCAAAGTATCAGTCTTAACTGAATCTGTCCCTCACTGGAAGTAAGACCTGGATTCCTCCGGGTCCCGAGGACAGCCCACAAGTGACTCGGCAGCCCATGTAAAAATGCTGGCTTTCACCAAGGACTCTTCTCCTTGCCCTGGCTGTTTTGTTTGCTTCCCACAGTTTCTATTTTCCTTACAATATACATTTTAATAAAACGATGTAAATCAGACTAGTAAGGTAAAGCCTGGGAATCAAGTTTTAAAAAATGCTTCTTTAACATACTAAGTGCGTTTAGGTCCAAATTCCGTTACAGTATGAAATAACAGAACAACAGCTAATTAGATCCACATTTGGTGTTTGGCTCATCTCCTCTGGGCCCCAGGGCTGGTTTAGTGCTCTCCTCCCTACCTCAGGGAAATGTGCTCAGGACAAGTGAGATAAGAATCTGGACAGCATTTGATTTGTTTGGAGCCTAAATTTCATTTTCACAAGATCACTTTATCAGCTTAAGTAGCATGCAAGAGCCAATGCTTAACACACTTTTGGAACAAAGACCCGGCATATTTTTAAAATGAGGTTCTCAAATAGGCAGCGTGCTCTTGGTGAGTGTGTGGCCTGCTTACGCTACTCCCTAGAAAGAGGGTGTCTCCGTGCCCCTCCTTAACGGACTCATGTCCTTTAGGCCTTTTGTGCCTCATCTGAGAATTACTGACACCCCAGGCAGATAGCTTTTTCCCTCAGAACGCTCCGAGTGGCTGAGTCAGAAACATCCCCCACCCAGACTCTGAAATGGAATCACATTCCACGATAAGGACTAACTCAGAACAGATGCCACACATGAAGTCAGCAAGGCTGAATATCGCTCAGTAACTTCCTTTCCAGACCCATCTGCCCAAGTCATCAGGGGCGGCTTCCACTGAGGTGTGTATGGAGAGGCCTAAGACACATGGAGACTTTTGTCACGGAGGTGAGGGACTTGCTGGCTAAGCCTGACTGGAATTAAATGTCTTTAGTACAGGGACCAACTCACCACACTGAATGTGATCAGTAAGTACTGCAGATATGCACTAACAAACAACAAATAGTCTAATTCAGAGAAACACTGCATTTTACAAACTCAGGAAAGGCTGTTCCTCAATTTTTAAAACATACTCTTGAATCACCTGACTTTGAAATGTTCTACCAGAGAAGGACAAAAAGGTCAATGAGTAAAAGAAAATCTTTCAAAAGTAAAGAATCCACAGATGCAGGCAGTATGGTGAGCAAACACTCTCTGCCCCATCTCTGGGGTCTAATGGATGCACCTCATCTTAACTTGGGGCTCATGTCCGGTTACCCTAATCCCACACCTGGTCAGCTCTATTACTGTAGAAACATGTTGTCATTTCCTGTGTTTCTCTGGTTTCAGTAAGGGACAGGAAAGGAAATGTACATCATATATATTAAAAACAAAAAACCAAAAAAGCTCACTGGAGTGTTGTGATCTTTTGGAACAGGAATGTTTCTCCTGCACTACTGCGTGTCGGAAGGATGGAACTCGCTCTGTGAGTCTTTATAGGGGCTTGCAGCTAAGAGTTTGCCTTACATCAGAGATTCAGATTTTGAGCAAAGAAACACTATTAAGACACAGAGACTCTTGCAAATGGATGGAAGGCATTTCACATTTTCAGAGGGACTTGAACCTTGGATAGGCAGGCCAAAAGCGTAGGGCAATTTCCCGAAACTAAAGTCTGCACCCCAAAGCCTCTGGCCCTGCCTTGGACCTGGCACCACTTTAGGCACACAGCAACTGTTTAAAATGCCAGTGATAGGCTAACAGCAATAGAAACAATCAGCTTCAATGAGAGACTGGCTACGCCGCTTCCCCAGAGAAGGTGCTGGCCAGCTCACCTTGTCACTGTCCAGTGTGTTCTGAGACGTCCGGGAGGCGATGGAAATGGTGTCAGGCTGGCTGCTGCCATCCCCCTGGCTGTCCAGGTCCTCTCCATCCCTGGTGGTGCAAAGAAACTGTAAATTCCTGGACTGGTAAAGAGCATCTCAGTCATTGGAGAAGTAACAGACTTGCCAAGAGACGTGTGTGTCAGTCGGTGACATGCCCGGTAGCCAACAGTGCATTAATGGTCATAAATCTGCCTAAAGTCAGTGCTGGCTTTTTTGCCAAGCACTCTGTGAGATGTGTCACAGCACTGAATTCTCATCATAACAAAAGGATAGGATTATACTTGATACAAGTATTTCCATTTTAGAAATGAGAACAAAACTGTGTAGCTGTTTTATATCTTGTACACACGATTAAACACATGCACCGAATGGCACATATGATGCGAAGGGGAAAAGGAAGAGGGATTTGCACAGTCCTTCATTTTCTTTACGCCAGTGGACCTCCTTGCCTTGACAAAGGCAGTTTCAGTTTTATCATCAAGGGTGACGTCATATACAGAAGGTATTTTTCAAACACACTGGGAACCTCACGATGTTTGGGAATTTTCACAACATGGTGAGTTAACACTGCCTGCCCTTCCCTGTCAGTAAATGGGTCACAGAAGGCCACACACTCACCTCCTGCCCTTCTGCCTGGCTGTTGGCGCTGTTTTGGGGATGTGAATGGGCTCCTTGAGGGCTCCTTTCAGGTGGATTGTCCTTTCCTGGATCACCTCGCGGATGTGCTTGATCCAGTCCTGCTTGTTTTCGATACTGGAAGCCTAAACAGAGTGTGAGAGTCACTAGGGATCCAACAGGGCTCTTTCTGTCCCCGCACAAGTCACATCAACTCTCCCTCCTTCCTTGAGTTTCCTACTGTCAAGAAAACTCAACAGAGAAGCAACCCCACACTGTGTTTAATTTGCCAATTGTAAATGTAAGATTTTTATTTTATAGCATATATGTTAGCTATCAAAATCATTTAACATTACCAGCGCCAAGACCTTTTAAGTAGCCCTGGAGAAAAACAAAAACAAATCACTTCTGAAACAAAATGTCGCTAAGGTTGTTTAGGCAGAGATTCTACACTGGTCACTGGCTTGTCAGCAGTAAAAGAGCCCTGGAAACCTGCTGCCACATCTGCTGGCCTCCAGGGACAGCAGCTCATGACCCTCCAGTGACCAGCTGAGGTACCTCAAAGTACAGCTTCCCATCTACACCCACAGGGATTCCAGGAGGGGCACCCACTGTCCCCCTCTTAGGACTGAGGAATTCAGGTGTGGGTACACTAGGAACTGTGCCAAGGGTATAAAGTCACCAGTTGCTCGTCAGCTAGGGTGGCTTTACTTTACTCCCCTTACACTTCAGTAAACATTGTCTGGAAAGGGCACAGACAAACACCCAATAAGCATCTGCTGCTCAAACACATGTGCCACCACTGCTTCCACTTGTTTTGCTCCACCTCAAAGGAGGTTTTCTTTTTCTTTTTCATATGTTCTGTGCCTAATGGTTTTCTCATTTCTTTATGGGAAACATCTACCTCCTATGATATAAGCATAATTCCTTCTAAATGATGAAAGTAATTGCCTGTGGGATCACAGATGAGATCATGAAGGGAGGAGAGCCCAGTATTTGTCACTGAGAATCTTGTTTCTGAAAAGAGCAAACCAAAGCCCAGGTTGGGAAATAAATTAAAACTGGTAACTTTCCTTCTATATAAAATGTGTTAAATGGAGGCTGTCTCCAAAGTTATTTAGGGTAGCAGAACTGGGAAATAAAGGACAAAACTTTGGAAACCACAAATCTGTTAGAATTTAAATGTCTGATATAAATATTTGGAAATTAAATAAAGATATACATATGACAAAGGACATTTGGGAGAGTCAAGAAATAAGGAAAATTGCTGATGATAAGTAAAACTCTCATGTGAATTGTTCATTGCACTTACGGAGAATAATCAAAAGGTGCTACATTTTCAGAAAATGTAAGAAAAAGGTAACAACTAAGGTACTAGTAAAGGTACCACTTGACTAAGAAAAGGAAATAATTTATTTCACAATCAGTGCAATCTCAAACCCTGCAAGGTGACGTGTCTCACATTCCCACCGTCACTGCCTCCAGCATCAGTGCGCTCTCCCCAGCTACACTCACTGCCACCTGTACTCTTTCTACCGTCTACACCACCACTGCCAAAGCCTACACCACCACCTCCGCATACGTCATCATCACAACAGCACCTCCACCATCCATCACTAATGCGTGGACACACTCTGAACTAGCGCACACACCACTCCCTTTGACTCCTGCAAAATCAGACATGTTACCTAAACTTCCCTAGAAATTTTTCATCTAGAAAAGCCTGCAGTAAGTCTTATACTTCAACTACATTAAGAGCATCTGCTATGTCCTAAATGAAAATAGCACATATTTGGCTCCATCTCTTAGAAGCATTTTTTGGCATCTGCCACTATTGCTCATTTGGGTCCCTTATGTAAACTGGAGTTTTAAGGTCTTTCGTATACTTTAACTTATCTAAAAGTCAGCTAGCAGTGCAATTTATAATTTGCAGGACTAACAAAGACCAAGAACATATTGGGCTGTTAATCATACATTCATCGCAAAACAATCCATCATTAACATGTGAATAAAGACCTAAAAACCACAGCCAGCAGTCCCTTAAGAGCAGGGTCTAAAAGAGTAAGGTACAGCTGAACAACTCAGGGATGCTCACATGCAGGTTCAAACATGAGTCCCATTACATTTCTGGTTCATTTCTAATATTCTACACATCTTTAGCTACAGCATCCCTCAAACATCCTGAAGCCACTTATAGTCTATCTAGACAGCTCAAAGAGGCAGTTCCGTCTGTATTTTCTCAAACATATAAAGGGGGACGTACTCAGGACACTCTAAAAGGTCTTTGTCATTCCTAGAGAGAGGTCAGTTTAGTCAAAGCCGAATTCAAATTAAATGTTCAAAGACATTTTCCTCCAAAACACTAGATATCCCAAAGCACCCTTTGTGTCTTTGAACTTCAAATAATAATAATATCATGCACCGTCACTGATAATCATCTTCCTTTTTGCTTTGTCCCCAAATCAGAAAGCAAAAGAGCCAAGAACTCTGTAATGCCTTTTGGCACATATGGCCTCAGCTTACTGCTAAAGCCCTCATGAATACACCAGGTGTTTTTCTCCCTCTGGAAGCTGGAGGTCAAGTGTGCAATGAGGGTTCTGGTCTGTATCTTATTTCCCTTGTTCATCAACTTCCTGCATAGCTTAAAATCAACTAATTCTAAGAAAATAGGAGAGATAGAAAAATATCTTCCATCATTTGCTCTTTGGGAGGCAAGTGAAAGTTTAGCTCAAATTATTCACTTCCAGAATACCAAAGTGCATTTATTCCCCTACACTTCTTGTGGAAGTTATGAGTCCCCACATAACCACACACACACACACACACACACACACACACACACACACACACACACCTGCATTTTTCAACAAGAAAAACTACACGTAGTGGCAATAAACTTCTTACACAGCCCAGCCCCCCACTTTAAAAAAACATACCTTAAGGACAATTTTATTATCTGAGGTTGGTGTTCTCCCCACCCATAGTGCAAATTTGCAAGGATCTCCTTCAACATGTTCTGTGACACCCAACTCTGAGGTCTAGATAAAAGACAATTATATGATTAGGTGACAGAAAAATTCTGACAGGATGCAGAACAAGGAAGATGGTTTTTCGTTATTTGATGTCATGCCAGATTATTAGAACCAACTTCTTTGCAGTAATAGGTAACCTCAGATTTCCTTGTAGTGAAACAAGGAAAGTTTGTTCTTAAACCACATGTAATTATTTTCTTCTTTCTTCTTCTTGGTATCTACTAGGAATCCCAATGCAAGTCAAGAAGCAGAACATCCAGAGGAATGAAACCAAAAGATCTGAAAGGCTTACTGTATACATCTAGAAAATGAAGAGCTAACTATTTCCAATTTAACCACCAACAAGGTGAATCTTTGCTAGCTCCAAAAAGGCTGCTGCCATGAATTTTCGGCATTAATGACACAACAAAGAAGGCAATGTTTTAACCTGTTAGCTATTTTCCATGATTTAAAAAAATCAATAGCAATAGCATCTAGTATTATCACCAATAACTTTATGGGCTAAGAGACGGAGTCCTTCTCTGTGATACACGCATAACACAGAGGAGGGCAGCTCAGGGCGGACAATTCCCTTCAGCCCCTCCTCCACACACTGCTCCCCTGACGCAGCCTTCCTCCTGCAAAGGGAGCATTCATCATCTTCCTCTCTGAAGGTAGCCTCTATGGGAATCTTAACTTTTAAAAGATGTATTAAGTGACGCTGGATCAGCTTCGAAACAGACTAGCGTGCTCTCTAAGGGCAGATGAAACCCAGCTAGTGAAATTAGTGGCCAGCAATGCTGCATTTTTGCTTTCTAGTCGGAATGTGACCTAAAATGATGTAAGGAAACGTGTGACCCAAAGATAACCTTGAGCAGGATGTCAGCCAATGAAACTGGCATGACAACTATTAGTTGAAACTTGCAAATTTTATATTAAGGTAATTTCTATACTTAGGAGCATTTTTAATTTTAGGAATTTGATTATTACACAGATACCATACAAATGTTTAATGTGTAGGTTGTATAAATCCCAAATCATCCAATGTTTAGAAGAAATCTGCAACTGAGCAACCCAATTTGTGGGCAGTTTTTATCCTTCTGCAGATAGTGACTTCCCCTGGGTCCCTCTCACGCTTCTCTTCATCTGACCCTGCCCAGCACTTCTGTGTGGACAGCCTAGGAGTCTGCCCCTCCGGAAGATGGACATGCAGGGAACCTGGAGGACGGCCCTGACGTCAGGTGTTTCTGAGTGGACTGAGGTTTTATAGAAGCCAGATGGGATGGTCAGTGGTACCAGGTACATTTCTCTCACCTGAATGATGCTGGCAGCTTGGTAAGCATGAAAATGCACTACCGCATCTGCCAGTCACTCAGCTGTGCTATCTCTACACGGATGGGGTTGCCGCAGTTTCAAACTTTGCTTTTGCTTATACATACTTTCTCTAATAATGCTGTATTTAAGAAACCCTGCATACATTTTTACATTTACTTCTGATAGATTTGTTTTTAATAAAAAGATCAAATTTCATCATTTAGAACCTACAGTAAAGCCAGGTGCAATGGTGCACTCCTATAATCCCAGCACCTAGGGAGGCTGAGGCAAGAGCTTCAGGACTGACAAGTTTGAGTTCCCCCTGGGCAATTTAGTGAGAGGCTGTCTCAGAAATTAAAAAAAAATTTTTTTCAAGGGGCTAAACATGTATCTCAGTAGTAGAGCACTTCTGGGTTGAATCCTTATACCAAAAAAATCCACAAAAACAAAAACAAAAATACTCAACAGTGAGCCACCCAATAAAGTCGCCTGAATATATCCCAATGTCTATGGGCTAAAAGCCAACTATAGTGATATAAGAATTTAGTTAAGACACACAGGGTACGATTTAAATTCACTTTGAAAATGTTTTCTTGTTCTGCAGTTACACACTGTTTATTCATTAAAAACAAGTTTCCTGCATATGAAACTCCACTCTGCCCCCTAGTGGACTCAGGAGGAAGAGAATTTCACTACAGATGAAAATACAATTCAGACACATTCAAAATAGTTTAAGAGGTTAAACCAAGGGCAACAAATGATGGTTTTTCTCCACCTACAAAAAGATTGCAATTGTGCTGTTTGTGAACTTAAAATTCTCAATGCCTATACTTACAAACAATTTGCTTTTGTAAAGGTACTTGCTTCTCCCACTGGAATCTTTTACTTCTTTACTAAATACTAAGGACATTTCAAAAAGGAAGAGATGCCGTTCTCGACCCTTTCGAATTAAAGTTTTGGGGTCCCACACTTGGAAGGACTCTTGCAGGATGAGCTCCCCCTGAGATTCAATGTTTTCGTCAAAACCTGTAACATGACAAGAGCAAGCAAATTAATTTAAAAGAAAATTACAATAAATTTTAAAAAGTGACATACAAGAAAGTATTTCAATGTTGGTAAAATGCTCATTAATTAGGCATCAAATGGTTTACCATTTGATTCTTGGAACCTAGTCTCTGAATTGACGACAAAGGATACAGTATTCTTCCTAAGCACCACTTTCTATGTCTTTTCCCTTGTTTGAAACAAACAAGTAAATAAATCAGTGCTTCCTTGTGGCCTTGGTCTTTGAGTTCAATCACGCTCAGCTGGAACTTGCACCACAGGAAACCTGGTTTTGGCCCCTGCCCCTCATCCCCAATCTGAACTCATGCATTCCTCCTCAGAATCATCTCCTTCACCGGAAATAACTCCTGCACTGCTCACATTTCACACTCAGTCTTGATACCCTTTGCTGCCTCAGCCTGAACATCTTTCCTAGGTCTCTGCTCAGGTCCCAAGGCTTTCCTCAAGACGCTGTCTGGCCTTGGCTCGTGAGCACCCCACGGCCACCCATCCTCTGTGAGTCTCGAACACTCTGCATGTGAGTCTGCCTTACTCTGGCCATGCACAGCCTTCATAACTGTTCATCTGGTTGTGGAAGTGGCCACCAGGCCTTAGAAAGTGGACTCTGGAGCAGAGGCTGCTCACTGCTTCCCATTTTCACTCTCTTCTCCTCCCCAGCAGAAGCTGCCTCTCAACCACTGCAAATAGCACTCTTTCCCCCAGCCCTCTCTGCAGCAGGAGCAGCTAGCGAGGAAGGCACCAGGTATACTGGCAGGTGTTCCCCCTCCACCTTCCATCTCCACTTCTTCCTAGATGCAATGTCAGTGTGGTCTTGAAACATCCTGGGCCTGGCCACACAGAACAACACAGAGCAGAGAGAGAAATAAATAAGCAGAACACAGCCTTAATTCCTTGAGGATGTCCCGAAGAGCTGCCCAACTCTTACGGTTTACATTAAAGAAAGACAAACTGGTCTACATAACAGCAGAAAGTAGAAGTCATACAGATGCAAGTCAGGGCAGTGGAGAGTCCTGTTACCTTCCAGCATGCTGAGGTGCATGGCGTCATTGGCTCGCTTTGGCACACTGAGCATCACCTCCAGGCCATCTTTAATCTCCCCCTTCCCTTCCTCGCAGCACGTGAGCAGCTCCTGCAGAAGACCAATATTGTGAGCGAGGAAGGACCACAAAATGTGCTGCCAACAATAAGAATCTATGAAAACTCATGGTCCTCAAGACAAAAGCAGACTGGTTAACTGGACATATAATCTCATTGAAAGCAAATGGATGCCATCAAATCAGGATATCAGAGTGAGGCAGATATGGTCATTCTTCACATGAAATTAGTAGACCTGGTAACTATCCAGCATCAAAAACATTAAGTGAGATGCAATTGGTATAATAATACATAATCAGCTACTGATTATAGCTGGTGGCCATGCCATAGCCCAACTGTTACGCTGATCACACAATCCTAGCATGGTTCTGCACTCTGGTGCCATCAAGGCAGTGCCCACTCAGTCCGCCAGAACACTGCAATAGCCAGGGTAACACATGAGCACCGCCCATCACAGAACTCTCCTGTGTGTGCAGGGTGGCAGCGCTCTGGTGAGGCAATCGCATGGCCCTAGGGAGACCTGTGTATGCATGTGTAGCTCAGCCCCTCTTAGAGGAACACAGGGCGAATGGCAGCAGAAAGAGTAAGTCTACATTATCATGGGCTCTGAGGTCTTTCTTACTGTGGTGTTAGTGACTACGATCAGTTAAGACATAGTGACAACAGGTTTTCATCCTGGTAATCAACAGATGAGAGACAGGATGACTGGTCAGCTTTGGCCCCAGGCTGGACAGTTTAGAGTAACTCACTTATCTGACAAGCACCTCTACTCATGACCAGATGATGTTTACCCAAAACTAAGCAGCTCAGCAAAAACTGCTGTAAAAATGCAAAGTGCTGAGACTACCTTCACTGGTAGCAAATACTGCTTGCTGGGGAGCTTCCCGCAGCTCCTTACTGATGCCCTGAAGGACCTCTGAGCAGAATGAGGTAAGGTTTATAAACTGAGGCACCAGCTTAGTAAAGGCACAGGTTAAAAAAAAACCAAAAAAACCTTACATCCTGAGGACACTAAAGGGTAAACTGCAGAATCAGAAAGCAAAGGGAAAATTTGAATATAAACAAACTAGCTTCCTGACTTTTTACTTCATGCTCACAGGAAATATGTATGTACTTCTGCAGTCATGGTCATAAAATTCCTCACTGACACTTGAACATAAACGCACAGAAGAGGGGCTGGGACTGTGGCTCACTGTGAAAGCACTTGCCTGGCATACACAAGGGATAGAAGGATAAAAGTATTTTCCAGGTAGAAAAGTCTAATGATGATAATATCATGTGCACAAAAGGATGCAGCTAATTCAAACTGTTTATAGATTTTTTTTCTTAAGAAAAAAAAGAAGGGTTTCAGGCACTCAACTATATCTTCTGCATTTCTTTTACATTTAGAAATATACTATAACCTTTTTTAGTACCTAGGATAGCATCTGGGATAAAGTAGGATCATAAAATATTGTTACTGGGGTTAATGCATTGGTTTCACATTCTAATGCTTAATTTCCCAGTTAAGGAAATGGCACTGTAAACATTACCAGACATAAGCTGTAAATTATTTTTATATCATCAATAAAATGTGTACTGATGACACACAATGCATTTTGTGACAACTCATACCACAAATTCTAGGTTTTCCTTACCTTTGTATCGTCAAAACCAATCACTGGTAGATTTTTTTCAAGTGTGAGTTTAGTTATACTCATGTATAACCAACAAAAAGCAGAGGTCAGTTTGGCTCAAATACCTATGATTTGTATGAACCTGCCCATAAGTGCATGTGATAAACTACGAGCAGTAATAGAAAGGGAACAGTGTGTGAGAGGCTTCCTTGTAGACTTAGCAGAAAATCTGGTCACTGGCCAGAGCTGGGTTCAAAGCCAAATCTAGAGAGCAGGTACTGGTAGTCACTCTGGTACCTATTGGGCCTCCCAGGGTCATCTTCACACCTGCAGACCAGCATAGGTAAATCACAACACAGCACTGGCTACGGGATCACGAGACAACAGCTTCTCACTGGTATTGCATCTCATGTTAGAGGCCAGGGCCAGTCAGTGCAGGATAGGTACAAAGTCAAAGAATACACTAATTTTAGTGCCGCATAGAGAAACTGGGCAGGACAAGAAATGCCAAAGAATAGGACTATTAAATTAACTTGCAAAGTATTATTTCAAAAAAAATCAAGGTATTATATATACAAAAGAAAATGGTCAAGATAGTAATGCATCAATTTGTGACATTTTTCAGGTTAACGATTCTTCATACGTACTTTTAAAAGGAGTTGGTACTTCGTTATTCGCTGAACTGGTTTAATAAGGTAGGAAGAGATGGAATTGGCTAAACCATGCCGCTGTTGTATCTCCTGTATTTAGAGAAACAAAATAGAATCTCATTACAGACATACACAATTCAAACATGGCTATAATACCACATTCATTTTCCAAATGACAAACAAATGTTCAATCCTACTGCCAGAATAACATCCTGTTTCTTAAAAGGTGATTAGACTATCTAAAAAAAGACAACTTCTTGACATTTTGCTTAGGACTGGATGAGGGCAGAGAACCTTGTAATTGTGTCATCTGCACAGACAGAGCTTCTGCTGTTCAGATTTCTCCCCGTCTGTGCTGTCAACACCAGTGACAGAGCTGAGAGCTACAGGACACCTGGTGAGTGGTCAGCAGCGCTGGCTTACACAGAGAAGTTTAGCTAAAGGCCGAGATGTTCTGGAGAATGCAGGGAGTTACATCAGAAAATAACTTGAAGAAATACATGTTGAAGGCTGTGGTATCTATCAGGCCAGCGCAGCTTCCTTTATTCTTAGAGACACATTTTAGGCTAAAAAATATTTAAATGGCTTTGATTCCAGACATTAAATGTGCCACACACTGCTTAGGCTTTAAATAACTCAAGTCTGCAGGTAGCTACAGTGCTGGGTTTCATCTAATGTGGAGGATGAAGGTTTGTGCGATGTAGTAAAAAACAAGGTAGCAGTAGGCTGGCAGGAGTTTCATGTATTCAAGTCAGTGACATGTAATCACCACTCCATCACAGCAACTAAAACAGGGTCACCTATGGTTAGGTCTTACCTCAAAGATCCAAACTAAGATTTATTTTATTTCTCAGACTTTCACTTAAAAAGGTACAAGTCTGAGGACAGCAAAGTCCAATGTCCTCTTAGCTTCAAACACAAAAGTATACAGACCAGTCCAAAATACTTCATCATAAGTCAAAATGTATTAGGTACCCATTTGACTAAACCCAAAGGTATTTTATACATCACAAGGCTGCCTGTGCTTTTGTACAACTTCCCTGCAATGCGTTTCAAAAAATGGAGGACCTGAACCAATGCTCACTGAATGAGAATGTAGTGTTTAACTTCCTAACTGAGCCTCAATTGTAACAGCGCTAAAATTTTATAGGTGGATCACTTTTGGAAATTTATAACATATTAAAATAGAAGACATAATTAAAAGATTCAGAGCTATTTTTGTTTTACAGAGGAAAGTTTATTTTACATTTATACCTTCTATGTATAATATTATTTGTAAAAATCCATTGTTGCATATAAATATCACATACATATATATACACAAACATGTTTTAAATCAATTTCTTGCAGATAGGGGGCATCTAATACTTACATAGGATTTATTAAAAGCAGAAAAAAAACTACAAAAATATTGTAATATAATATGATAAAAAATATTGTATAACGATTAGGTACAATTACAAGTAGTGTTGTATTTTATGTATACTAAGTGCAAATTGGAAATTTTCACAGCTTCTTTAATAATCTATTACTTACATCAAAATAGGACCCTGCATGTTCCAGTATCAGCTGAGTAGAATCAGGCTTGTTTTTACAGTATGTGACATACATCTGGAACTTGTCTGCCTACAGCAAAACACAACAACAACAAAAAACACATTATCTCGCTCAGACCCAAACACATCACAGTGTGATAGTCTTTAATACAGGAAAGAAGCTATGTGGATAAAAAGTGTACGCCTTAACTAAAAGAAATCTGCCAGGCATGTTTGCGCCCACCTGCAATCCCAGCACAGACTGATTTTAAGTTCGAGCCCTGCTGAGGCAACCTTATAAAATCCTGTCTTACAAAAACAAGGAGTGAAGATGTAGATCAGAGTGCCCTTGTCTTCAATCCCCAGTAGTCATATCTCCTATATTTAAGGAGAAAAATAAAAAGGAAAAAGAAAAGGAAAAGGGAAGAAAAGAAACCCTTAAAACCCTTTCCTGTGGCCAGTCAGGCCTGGGCGCCTTCCTCTCCTCCCTCCCCAAGGAAGTCTGGGCAGACTCTGCAGGTCACCTTCCCCCTGGATTGGACCAGGCTCCATTCCCCTAGGCAGGATGGGATTTCATCCCTGGACGAATCCACTGGGTTAACCATAAGCTAGCACACTGGCTGTTCTATTTCAAACTATCACTACTGCCAATAAGCAAACTTCTTCACTGACAACGCAGTGGTTGCAGATAAGTTTGCTGCTCTCTCTATGTAAAGGTAACAGCAGAAGATGGAGACAGAAAAAACAGCTTCCCTTCCGTTGCCTTCAGTGCCACCACCCGACCGTGGGAGACCAAGCGGCTGAGTTTTCATTACCCAGGTGACAAAGCAATGTCCAACATCCTCTGGCAACTGTTCATATTTTTCCAGCTCCTTTAGGAAGATGCTGTAGAGAATAAAAACATTATCATGCTATTAAAGGGGTTTAAAGACATTTCACTAAAGAGATATGCCAGAAATGAAAAAACTGTGTGCCCTCTCGATCAGGAGAACAAGTCTGTAGCTTTTAACTAGGGTACGTTAGTTTTTCAAAACAGTTAATCCACCTAGCCTTCAATCAGAACTCAAACCCAGCAGCTTACTTCTGGGAAGACGTCAGCATTTGGTACGAAAGGATTGGATTTAGGGATGGAAACGTGCAATCAGAGAACTCATCTGCATTTCTGCACCTTCAGCTGAGGGGCGGGGAGGGCTGAGCAGGCCGAGTTGTGGGCCAGCGCTGGCGAGTACTGGCTACTGACCATGCAGACCCTACTGAAGGGAATGGGGCGTCTGGCTGCTTTCTCTAAATCTTTAAAATAAAACCACACAAATGTTGAGGTAGTTTTTTAAATTCAGTGTAGAACATCATGGATGCATTAATGGGAATGGCAACAAATTTGGAGATAAATTCGGGCAGTTAGATATTTTTAATAATATTAATTCTTCCAATCTATGAATATGAACTATGTTTTCATTTACTTTCATCCTGTTAGATTTTTTTCCATCAGTGGTTTATATTTTCATAGAGATCTTTCACCTTTTTAGTTAAATTTATTCCTAGGGTGCTTTTATTGGTATAGAAAATGAAACTCAGACATAAAAAGGCATAAAATCTTATTTTTGATCACAGGGGCGGACCTGGAAGAAATTATGTTAAATGATGTAAGTCAGGCCCAGAAAGATAAATACTGCATGAAGTCACTTGCTAGTGGAATCCAACAAAGTCGATCTCACACAAGTTCAGAACAGAGCAGTGGGTACAGAGACTGAGAACAGTAGGAGGGAGGGAAGGCAGAGAGAGGTCAGTCAATGGATACCACGCTATCATTTGATAGGAAGAGTAAGTTCTGGTATTCCAGGGAACAACAAGGTGAATATAATTAACAATTACGCATTAAATATCTCAAAATAGAAGATAGCAATTTGAATATATTCACCAAAAAGAAAAGGTAAAAGTTTAAGGTGATGGGTATGTAACATACTGTAAGAGTTAACTACTCTTCAATGTATCCATGAATGAAAGCTTTGCACTCATAAATATGTACAAATACTGTGCATGAATAAAGAGTTAGTCACAAGCTTCTTGACAGAGCTTTATGCTGGCCAGACCACACCTGCTCCTTTCTCAGCTTCCCTTCCCCTCCTGTCATGAATGACCCAACAAATAGCAGCAGCCTACAGCCCCAGGCAGAGCTGTTCTTTCCTCTAGCCCTAAGAAGTAACCTAGAGAAGCTGGGATACTTAAGCATTTCACGTATTCATTTCATGTATGTATGTTATACATACATCGCAGAATTAATCATAATTCCGAGATGTATATATAACTATACAGTTCAGTCTGTATGAAGGAGTCATTAGAATGTTAGTCTATCTAGAGAAAGACTGACAAGTTTCATGCAAATTTCAACAACAACAACAAAAAAAAAATCACCAAAACATGCATAGTTCAATCATTTCTTGTGAGGAAACTTTAGAACAACACTCAGATGCAAAAGTAACCACTTTCAAAGACAAAGCCACTCACTTATTATGGAACTCATAGATTTCCTGCATGTTTCCGAAGATAATGAGTTCTTTGTTTACAATGCCAGGTGGGATCTCCTCTACGCCACTGGTCATTTCCCACAAGTAGGTCTGCCCAGGAAGGAAACACAAATCAATGCCAGAATATCAAAATCAGCTATTCCTGACACTCTGAGTACAGGCTCAGAGTTAACGTGTAAATTAATGCACATCTAAGAACAGAACCTTTCACAGAACATGAGAAACTCTTCTTTAAAAAAAGCTCTTCAGTTGCTATTAACAGGTGACAGGACTGCTTATGCTTTTCAGCCCTAAACTTATTCCCTGCTTATTTTAAAATTAACTTATTCCACAAGGTACAGCAAATATTCATCATGACACTCCAGAGGATCAGCTGCCTCATAATTATAGGTAAACCTGTCTGAAGCTGCTGTGAAATTCTGCACAAAGAGAGTGCCACCCAGGCCATCATGTGATGAGCAGAATGAGTGGATTAGTGCTGTGTCATCTCTGTGATGAGCAGTAAACACACCTAGAACTGCATAGACGAGCAGGAACATGACTCAAAATCTGCCACTATTCTAAGAACCACCAGCAGGTAGGAATAAAAGAGCACGTTAAATTCAATCCAAATGGACAAGTTAAAGAGAGAAGAGAAAAACTTACTTACATCCATACACTCCCGGAGGTCTCTTACATAAGCCTTTTCAGTCTGAATCAGCTCGGCCATTATGAACCTTGGAGTAAGACAGAGCAGCTTAGTCCACAGCCAGGAAGCTCCCTCGCTCTGCTGTCTGCCTTTGTGGAGACAGCACGTGAGGCGGTTCTAAAAGTACTGGGACTAAGATCATGGCTTTGGAAAATAAAGCAAGAAGGGACACTCACTAGTACCCAGTCACTAATTCTAACGGGAAAAACAAGGGTTTTGAAGGTATCTTATTGAGGTGCCGAGAGGTCAGGGCTTCTCACCTCAGTACCTGGCACCTGGGTGGTGCCTCGGTGTGGTGAGGCTATGGGGTGCTCACCAGCTTCCCTGGCCTCCCTGCTGGATGCCAACTGTTACCCCACCCACTATGACAATCCCAGTCTCCCCTACCTTGGTCGCATGTCCCTGATGGACAAAGGCGCCTCTAGGTAGTGAATCCTTACTGAGTCTTGTTCACTGACTGGTCATCTTCTAAACACACTGTATTAGTTTCCCCCAGAAAAGGGAGGCACAGGGACAAACAGCAGACTGAGCAGGGACGAAGGGACAGTCTGCCCAGCAGGGTATGTGCTGAACTGCTAGCCAGACTCGGAGCAGCTAGGAGTTGCCTGCGATGTACCCACAGAAGCCAGTGTGCGCAGACCGCACTTCCTCCACTTTCTAAGTGAACTCTGAGAAGTTTTTAGCACTGGCTTACTCTTTCCTGCGGGCAGACTTCCGCTTCTCTTCATTGAGTTCATGAGCAGCATCACGAAGCTTCACCTCTGACCCGGGGATACTGGCCGGGATGATATCAAGCTGAAGACTTTTACTCTGTGGAACGAGTCAATGAAGCCAGTTAATCCCACCAGCAAAGAGGACAAGGGGAAGAAGACCATAACATTTTCAGTCTACAAAACAATTCACCGATTTGTTGGAATCTGAAGAAATCCCCAGGGCTTTCTCCAAAGAGGTCCTGTACTTCTCCATCCGCAGAGAGAAATCTCTGTACCTCTTATCCACTGCAGTGACACATTTTTTAATCTCTGCTGCATGGGCATGTCCTTTTTCACAAAAGCCATCAGCCAGCTGTATCAATAGCTTCACTCTCTCTTTGGTTTGCTGCAAAAAACAACAGGAAAGAATTGTGAAGCAAATGAACTCAACTGTCAAAAACCCAAAACACAGAGGCGGTGAGGGAGGAAATGGCTGGAGACAGAAGCTTAGACCACAGCTCTGAGCTCAACCAATCCGTCTCCCTGAGCCCAGAATGGCTCTTTCTTCAGTTCTTCCACGAAGAGTGGCACTTTTATGACTATCCGTCAACAATGTCTTCATCTGTGCCTGCCTGGCAAGTGCAAGGTCCTGAGTTCAACTGCCGGCACCAACACCAAAACAAAACTAAACTAAACTAAACTAAAACAACATTTTCATCTGGTAGGGGCTTATTAGTAAAAACTGGTAGACTGAATGAACGAATGAAAACTCACTCAGGATCGTCTCTTTACAATTCTGTTACTCTCTTCCTTTGAATACTGAATGTATGTTTCAAAGTAATCATTCAAAAACAGTTCTCTGCTTTACACACACTTAATTCAAAGTGCTCACTTAGACCTATGGCTCTTTGAGGGCCAGCAGACAAATGACTTTTTGGTTTTCCTGAAGCATGTGGAACAAAGGCTGCCTGCCCGAGGAGACACACAACCAAATCCCCAAGGAAGCTCCTTCACAGAGCATGCAGTTCTTTATTCAAGTTTCAGGAGACACTACTCAGGAAAATTCACTGCTCAGGAAGTTATCTCCATAAAGGTAGTTTTTACTTTGTCCCTGTTGGAGAATACTCTCTCACACAAGGTTATTTCATTTTATATGTCCACAGAAAAGATCTCTGACCAAGTAACATGTAATTTACTTTTCATAAAGTTAATAGTAATAAATAAAAAACTTGAGATTTTGTATTTAGCTGATTTCTCAGCACAACTTTGTGGTCATGCCCATTTCCCTGACTATCATTACTAGGTTCCCTGCATTTTCAAAGAAGTTAGTTACTCTCCTGTCATGGAACCTTCTTTTCTCAGCCAGGCTTTAGCTGGAATTATTTATGATGATTATTCAGAAAACAAGCTTCAAAAAGACCTAAAAGTAACAAGGTCAGAGTTCACAATCCAAATGAACCGTCTTAGTTTGTGAAGTGAAAGCCTTGAGCCAGCACCCCTGTGCACCCTGTCAGGTCAGCTGTCAGACTGCACAGCGATACCCGGTGGGGGGCCTATTCCCAGGTTCCCTGCTTCGGCTCCCCTTCTCCTTGCTGGGGTTTCTTCCCTGCACTGCTGTTCCCCTGGCTACCTCCAGGGCTCAGTCACATCTCTGCTCAGATAAAGGCCACCTTCCCAACAGGGCCTCCCCGACCACCTAAAAACTGCACCTTGCTCCTGCCAGGACTGCCCTTCAGATGCTGCATGTGGTCTTCTAACAGAAGGTGTAATTTATTCATTTGTTAAAGAGTATTGCTTGTCACACTCCATGAAAATGTCACCTCCAGAGGCCAAATATATTTGCTTGTTTTCTTTACTAATGTCACTTCCACTGTCACAAAAGCCACCTGTGGTAGATGGTCTAAGTTATACCGATGTATAAGGGGTTAAGAAAGCTATTTGGTATTTTCAGTGATGAGGACTCAGAAGTAACTATTTGGTACTGGGAATCGAACTTAGGACCTAGTGCTTGCCAGTCAGGTACTTATGCAGCTGAGCTAAATCCCAGGCTCTGGAAGTGATGCTTTAAAAGAAAGCCAATGTAGCTGGCTGGCATTACAACAGAAAACAAAACACCAGAAAGCCAAAAGAAGACTTTTGTATATGTAGAATGCACATCACAAAAACATACCAGCTGTAGCCATGTCGTGTCAATAGGCTGATGTTACTTACATTAAAATAGATAAAACATAAAAGATTTTCTGAAAGCACAACTGGTGCAAGTCTTCAATGCATAAACTTCATTTAAAGAACAAAAAGATGCTAATGTAATAGTCAAAGGATTGTCAGAGAGGACTTTCCTGACCCCTCTGTTAAAAGACTGTTGCCTTTCCTTTTCCAAAGGCTTTCTTCTCTACTACTTTACATGTGGCTGTTTGTTATCCATTTAACACGTTATTGCTGTTTGTCTAAGCAGACTGTGCAGTCCATGAGCTAAGCACTCAGTAGTTCCTGCACACAGGAGTGATCCAGTACAGCACATATTACAGCTTGGCTTCAATGCTCGGAGACTACAGAGATGGTGTGTATACATGTGCTTTTCTCCTTCACAGTTTTGTATAGATGCTTGCATACAATAAGCAGTGCTGCACACCAAGCTTTTAACTTCATAAATCTTGCTTAGTTTTCCCTATCATAACAAAAGTAGCACCCTAGTTAGAGTGCATCATATTTCACTGTATGGATGCTAAATTATTCCTGACCACAGCAACGTTGTGAGAAAGAAGCCTGCTTGTGTATGATGTCACCTGTGTCTAAGCATATGGCCTGGAACACACATTTAGAGGTGGAACTGTAGAGGTAGCCTCAAGTTTGTGTGGTGGAGGAAGATGCTGCCAGAGGGCAGACCTGGTTCTCACTGGGCCTTGTCAACAGCATACAACCCAGTTTTTTAGCTCTGCAATTCTCCTGGGTTAAAAATAAAACTCGGTGTAGCTTTTATTTGTTTTTATTATAAGTAAAGTCGACAATCTCATGTCTTTAGAGGTCATTTGTAGCCAGGCAGGGTGGCATACACCTGTCATCTCAGCACTTGAGAGGCTGAGGCAGGAGGATTGCTCTGAGTTGGAGGCCTGGGCTACATAAGTAAGTTCAAGACCAGCCTGAACTACTCAGTGAGACCCTGTCCCTAACCTTCCTCCCCAAAAAAGCCATTTGCAATTCTCTTTCTGTGACTGTCTTTAACAGCATCTTTTGTCCATTTTCTTGGTTATTTTCCCTTATTGATTTGTAAAAGATCTTTACTACTGGGAAACTGGTTCTTTGTTACATGAGCTGCTCCAGATCTTTTCTTTCTGCCCAATCACTCTCTGCATGCAATGGACTCTCCTGTAGAAGTTTTGAATGTTTTTTGTGCAGATTTAATTTATCAATCTTTTCTTATATGAGTATGATTTTGTTTCATTTAGACAAACTTCCCTGTACAAGGATACATATTTTTAAAAATTCTATTTTACATAATACTCTTAGGTTCTCATTGCTGGCCTTCTATTGTTAACTCAGAGACAGTTACCAAAGTAGATTTTAATTTACAAAGCATATAAATTATATAACCAAATGACCTCCTTGGCAGACATAATCAATGAATGGAGAAAATGAAAGCAAACTGAATTCTTAAGTCTCCTCGCTCCAGACAGCTTTGGTTAATCATCACGTTCTTGGGATCAGAAACCTGGGAAGGATACAAAGTTGGCGGCTGTGGGCACTTTTGAACAAGGCAAAGGATGTCGGGCAAGTACTAATTAGGATCAAAGAGACCATGCGAAAAGAAGACTGCAAAGTTCTAAATGATCTAGTAAGACATTAGATTTCAAATTGCAGCGTGCATGGAAACCCTGGGGTGAGCTGTCAAATGTGCCTTCTAGGCCTCATTCCTGGACAGCCTATGTCACTGTTTGGGGTGCAGACAGAAAGCCATTTTTGCCTAAATACCCAGCACCTGGATGCAGAAGGTGCCTGTATGATACCTGGAGAAGTTACTAGGAGTCACAAAGGAATCGTTAGGTCTTATTTAAGATAATGGTGAGAGAATTTTGTTTAGCCTTTTAGCTTTATGTTCACTGATGCTAAAAATGTTGTAAGACTAATTTTAACAACTGGATTAGAAGACAGTTGTGTCAGGACTAAGATTCTCTATAGGATAAAAAAAAAAAAAAAAAAAAAAAGGTGTCTTCGAAGACACTAACACAGGATGAAAAGCGAGAGAAGCTTTGTTCTAACGTGGAACCCAAAAGACATCTCCATACACAAAGCAGGTGCTCCCTGAGTCAGAGAGGCTGGCAGAAACCAGTGAAAACAAATGAACTCATGGCTTGGGCCAGGAGTGCAGAGGGCAGTGTCAACAGCAGGAGGAGTCAGAAATGGCTACAGAAAGCCTAAAACTGTACACATTAACACAATACAAAGTAGCTGTGCCACTCTAAGGGCTTTCAAAATTCCTCTGTGATAGGTTTTCAAAGCCAGGTGAAGGGCCAAGGGAGATGATCATTTGAGTTATTGTATAAGAACACTGCTTTTTAACCAAAATAATACTATTTACTTGATAACTTCTTTTCCACTCTTAAATCTGACTTCTCAGCTTCTTTTAAAAACTCAAGTCTATCATCAAATATTAGAGGCACTTCTGGAATATTTCACAGACTAAGTACCTAAATGTTGAAAAACAACAACAACAGAAACAAAGCGTCACCCTAAGAGAACCTCTTGGAGGGAGCTGGGGGGAGTGGCGGGGGAGGAGGAGTCCGAGGAACAAGGTGCTATGTACCCGGTTCCCGTGGTGAAGGCATTGATTGTGTGTTGCAAACTTGCTAACAAAAAAAGGTAAGAATAAAACCCAAAGAATCTCAAAACTGTTTTGAGGTAAACAGAGTCAGCTCCGTAGTTACTCATTTGGGGAAACACTCATGGCAATGTGTACTCTTGTTTCTTTGAAAAAAATTTTTTAAAAATTTCTATTTATTCACATACATGCCATAGAGAAGTGATTTGACTTATTAGAGACAAGTGAGAGAGACCAAATCTTGCAGACCCTGGAAGCGCAACCAGTGGACACGGACATGCACTGCCAGATGGAAGGGCATTCAGGACAGGAGCAGCACGGTGGGCGAGGCTACTACAGCCCTCTCACCAGCTGAAGACCAGGGGGACCCGCCCACGGGATGCACACCACAGACTGTTTCTAAAAAGCAGGAAGCACTCAAAACAGCCTGGAGAGAAAATCCAAGAGAAAGAGAAAAGGACCAACGAGAGGGGAGAGATGGAAAGCAGAGTGCAGAAATCAGAGTCAGAGGACACGGATGCTGCACACAGAGGGAGGACGACGACGACGACGACGACGACCGAAGGGCAGAAGGTGGGACAGGAGAGCCACCTTGCCTGAGCACACGCGGGCTGACACCTGCGCACCAGACCTGCTTCCCTGGGTCCCAGGGTGTCTCTGAAGGATGTCCCTGAGGAACAGTGAGCGCTCCACCAGGAGAAAGCCCAGCAGACACGCAGGCCTCCGCACAGGAGCCCACACCCCCGCTCACCTTTGCCGTGATCTGAAACTCCTCGTGTTCTTTGAGCAGCTCTTGGGTGTGCTGTATGCTGGACCCTGTAGAGGTATGTGTGGAAAGGTAGAACTCCCCGTTGTCATGGATCCATTCTAAAGCCTAGGGAAGGAAGAATGCAAAATGTTTGAGAGAGAACTCCAAATTTCTGAGTATCTCTTGTATACAAGCCAAAGCTGGCAGGTGTCAAGAAATATTCCCTTGGATAGAGACACATTTCTGAAGGAGTTATTACAATTTCAAAGTAAAAAAAAGGGGGGGGGGCACTGGAAAAAGTAACATTTTCTGGCAACAAAGAAAGTTCTTAAGTTTCTTATAACCATGAACAAAGGCATAACAACAGTACAGTAAAAGTGGCCACCACCAAGCCCTTTTGTAAGAAGGAGAAGTTGTAGGTAAAGGGTAGTCTGAGAGTCTTAAGCTAAACTCCCAGATACTCCTGTCGCTAAAACCTGAGAGCCCCCCTGGGTGTTTTAGCTTAGAAAAGAACCTCAAACCTTTGAGAGTTCTTAGAAAAGAACTCAAACCTCCACCTCTGGCCTTTCTTCCTGCACACCCCATGTCCTCCTGGAGCACTCGGGCTTGCAGCTCCTATTTGCTTTTAGGGGGTGTCTTGCAGAAGACCCCTCCACTTCATGAACAAACCCTCCACTGTGGGGCACCAGCAGAGACGTGATGCAGCTGCTCTCCCACAGGACAGACATCACGATACCCCAAGGGAAGGGGTCGGTGCAATGAGAGCTCTGTTGCACATTTGCTTATGGTTGTAGAGGGGAGCTTATTCTATGCAGGATCCAAAGGAACATCAGACTTACAGAAACGTACTCCTACCTACAAAAGCCCTGCTAGGAAAGCAGTATAAAGATGCAGAAGTGCTTCTAGCTGCCATTGGTAGCTCAGCTGTCCATGGTAATTTGCTGGCTTGCTACAGAAACACCGCTGTCATCATTACATCACCACAGTGGTGGCATCTCCACCACACTAAATGAGAAGGACCTCAACACAAGGATGTGCCGCTTCTGAGCGGGGCATTCACATCCATCATGTCCAAGTACAGCTACCCATCTTGGACATAATATTAACACTGGTATGAAAGAGGCCACGTCCATCGGTTTATTCAGAGTTCCTGATCTCTCCATTCATGCAGCAAACAGGCCTGGATACATATCATAGAGCCAGACAGCATGAGGTTCCCGGGGGTGAGAGAAATCTGGGCTGTAATCCCGTGGACTAGAAAGGAGGATGCAGATGAAGAGCAGTGCGCCACGATGTCAGCAGGGAGAGTGCGCAAAAGACCTTATCAGAAGGAAGTCGAAGATGTGGGGTCTGAACTGGGCTCTGGGGGCTGAGGAGCAGCCGAGGGGTCCAGGGATTTCAACAGCTGTGAGCAGGGCCAGCTCAGCCTGCTGCAGAACCGGAGGGCAGAAAGGCGGTGGGGGAAGGAGCAGGGGCTTGCAGGTCCAAGCGGAGCTTGCATTTCTTTCTGAAAGCAACTGTGGCTACCACGTGGAAAAGGAATTATAGGGTAGGGAGTGAGCAGCACAAGCCAGGGTGCCACTGGGGTGAGGATGGGTGGGCAGAGCTGAGACCCCGGAAGGTCAGTGCCCCTAGTCTCAAGGGTGCGAAGGCAGGAAGACGAGGGGAAGCCGGGAGTTAGCACGAGGCACTCCTCACTGTGCAGCGGGCGCCATGGCAGGGCATAGGTGGGGCATAGGTGATCATGCCAATGAGATACCCAGGACCTGGAAGTCTGGAGGTGGGTGTCTGTATTGGGAGACAGCCCAGAGTGGGTGAGAAGAGAGGGAAGAGAAACACGGAGGAGCGCAAACTGGCCCTGAGAATGCCAGCATTCAGAGGTGGAGACGCAGGAGGACCTGGGGAGGGGGCCTGAGAGGCAGCACATGGCAGGAGGCAGAGGCAGGGAGGCGACCTGTCACTTCTCCACACTCCCTCCAGGTCAGCGCTGCCCACTCTAACCTTAGGGCACCCCCCTGAAAACTGCAGAGCATCGAGGGCCCTGCTTTCAGTGAGCTGGCGCTCTGAGCAGTCAGGGTGTCGTGGAGAACTATGATTACATGTGAAGCTAAGTCAAGAGGGCCACAGGGACGATGGGTCGTCTTCTGGAATGCTACAAGCTTCTCTTTCTCTGCCAAGACCATTATTTGCGACTTGGCTTCTCTGCAGCTGAGTGATACGCTGTCTTTCATCAGAAAGGTAATAAAGATACAACTGAAGTGGGCCTCCAATAATTGTGAAGTATGACCGAACAACATTTAAATGACATGTTCAGAAACCGTAACAGAATTGCTTGTCCCATTCCCTGCTGGGATGTGATTACTGCACTGGTAAAGTCAGCCACACTGACTGAAAGGCCACCCAGCTCCAGGTCCACAGCCAGAACTCAGCTCATGACCTCTAGAAACTAAGTGGTTAGGGCATGGGCATCCTTTGCAACACAGCAAACAGGAAGAGTCTCTTCCCTTCTATGGGAAACCAATGCTGAGGAGAAGAGAACTTTTCTTGGGCTAGAGAGATTGGACCAAATTCCTCATCAGTGCCAGGCTGAGCGCTGGTGAAATGGGTTCCGGAGACATTCGTCTCAGGTCTGAGTCTTGCTCAGGATGCAGGGCTCCAGTGAGGCCCCGAGTGACCTGATGCGCACTGCATGGAGGCCACAGGATGGCATGCACGAGTGATGAGAGGACACACCCCCTGCCCTGTTCTCCACCCAATTCTGAATGAACAGTTCCCAGGCTCTTGTGCTACCACGAAGGCCAAAGAGAAGCGCCAGGAATCAGAATATGTAAGAGAGGAGCAAACAGGTTTTACTGTAAAATGACAGTCCCTGACTGGTGACAGAGCACTTCAGCCCACCGTGACTTCAGAAGGGGACTCTCTGAATGTGGCCCTTGATGCTCCTGTCTTGATCAAAAGCCAAGTCTTTTTTGATTACTCTAAATTTTCAGAATTTCCTTAACCAATTTTAACTCCACTTACCTAAAGAGTAAAACTCTGACTTAAAAAAACATGAAGGACAGCAAAATATAGGGGAAAAAAAACTATTATATTTACACAAGTGCAGAACTAAGACTCAACTATGCTTTTTAAGACAGTAATGTTACGGATTTTTGCCTTCAGGCAGTACTGTGAGGCAAGACCGCCCAGGGAAGCTGGATGGCCCACTGAGCGACACCTTCACTGGGTGTGAAGTTTCATTTTTCTAACATTGTTCATTAAAAAGCGACACTGCCTGGGCATCAGCAAACAGTTTCCAAGATGCCTATCTGGAGGTGGAGACGTGAGCACAGACAGAGAGTGTGTGAGCCGGGCTTGCACTGACCTGCTTGGCACTTCGCTCAAAGACCACATACTGCTGGCACTGGTCCAGCCGCCTCTTCCTCATGGTCCAGTAGTGTAGTACCCTGTTCTCCCGCTGGAAGAGCTCATTCAAGATATCTGAGGGGAGAAGGAGAAGGAGAAAGATAGATGCTAGTGCTGTCATCCAGTAAAATGTGGGGCAACGCCACATAAGGACGGATTGTTGGGTGAAGAACCATCTGAACATGGTACCTTACTTAATGAACGTGTCAACCACTCTCCTCATTCTTTGATCTCAATTATTACTGTGTGGAAGAGAGCAGTGGAGACGTCGAGTCACCTCAGGTTAGCTGCTCAGTGCCACACACAAAGGTGCATCCTGCTGGGGCTACTCTACACAGGCTGGAGCACGTCACTCAGTATTCTGATCTAAACCACTAGTGCCTTCTGCAGAAGAAATGCACTACACAATAAAATAGAGCACTACAAAAAACAAAAGGCTTTTGTTTTTTTTAAACATAAAACTCTTAGAAGGAAGGACATGAAATAAGGAACTATGGAAGCAGAGAAACATGACGCTACAAAGACCAAAAACTCTATTACATAAACATGAAATATGTAGCAATCAAACAATGATTATCACCAAAAAAATGTTATACAAAGAAGTCAGAAAAAACTATCGGGAACATAAAAAACATATGGGATTAATTGATACTCAAATGATCAATTAGAAAAATGGGCAAAGTATACAAACATAAGGTTCACAAATTTTTTTCTTCTTTTCTCTTTTGGGGGTGGTGGTGGGCAAGGGCATGGGAGTGTGAGGGTCTCACTAGATGGTGGTTCAGGCTGGCTTGGAATCACTATGTAGCCCAACCTGGCTCTGAACTTGTGGTGATCCACTCAGCTCAGCCTCCCAGGTATTAGGATTACAGGTTTGCACCACCACGCCTGTCTGTCTGCCTGTCTCTGTATGCTGGACACTGACCTAAGGCCTTGCACCTATTAATCACATGTCTACCACAAAATCCCTCCCAACTCTAAAGTTCACAGCGTCTACAACATGACTACTAAAACCTCATTCAAATATGAAACCATCTTTCACTGCTTTCCTAGAGGGACTGGAACCACTATTTGGAAGAGTTGGGACTCATGATCCCATTCTTTTTTTTTTCTTTGTCTTTTTCATTTTTACCGGTACCAGGGATAGAACTCACGACCGCCTGCTTACAAGGCAGGTGCTTATGCCGCTGCGCTAAATCCCCAGCCCCCTCATGATCCCATTCTACACTACTGAGGGACAGAATCGAGTCTAAGGTAGTGGAGGGCACTTTAGTAACAGGCAATGACCCAAAAAGGTAGGTATCTTAGAGCAAGGAATTTACCTTTGAGTCAAATGCTGCCTGTGCAAAGAATCAAAATATCTGAGCCAGGTATGGTGGTGCATGACTGTAATTCCAGCACTCATGAGGCTGAGGCAAGAGTTCAGGCCTCACTGGGCTACACCAAGTGATTAGTTCAAGGCCAGCCTGAACTGCATAGCAAGACCTTGTCTCAAAAACAAACAAACAAAAAACAAAAACAAAAAACCCAGCAGCAACAACAAAAAATTATTTGAACTAAGATGCACAAATACTGAATGCTGAGAGAACAGTGAGGCACTGGCATCAAAGTATGAGCTTTTCTTTCTTTCTTTCTTTTTTTTTTTTTGTCTTTTTCCTTTTTATCGGTACCAGGGATTGAACTCACGACTGCCTGCTTGCAAGGCAGGCACTTATGCCGCTGAGCTAAATCCCCAGCCCCAAGAATGAGCTTTTCAACCCACAACTAGTGAGGTGTATTATGGAAATGCTGTATCTAACACTCGAAACACCTCAGTGATTTCCACATTGGGAACAGAGAAGTGTATTACTGGTCTCATTGCTGTAAAACATGAGAAAGTAGGATGCGGGCAGGAATAGATCTGCATTTCTCTACATATATGCATTTCTATGTATAGGTACAGTGTAAAAATGGCCTGGCAAAGAAATCAGGTGATTCTGTGTATATGTATAGTTTAATTTTTTTTTGAAAACTGAATTTTAAAAACATTAGAAACAAATGGTATCTTAATATAACTCCGCAATACTTGAAAAATTTAATACTTTTAAGTTTTCCACTAACATCACCTAAGTTTCCACAGGCTGTCTACTCTGTGAAAAGAACTGGAGAGCAGCATTCACACATCCGCTTGCCATAATGCTATGTGATCACTGCTCCACTCTAACAGGTGGACTAATTCATTGAAATACAACTTTGAAGTCTGCCAAAAAGTTAAACTGCTTACATGAAAGTATTACGTATAAAAACCCTCTAAACCAGTGGGCATCATCTGGTCTCATTTCCATAGTCTCTCCCTGAGCTGGTCTAAATCCTGCAAGCTGAGCAGGGGGCTAAACTTCCAGCCTGGGTTTGATTCTTCCTCTAGCTCATGGGACAGCCTCAGACCATGTGGTCTAACTCCTTGCTGGTGACCTCTGGGATCATACTGTGTCTCTGTCACCATCACCCTGTGTGGATTTACAACACTGTTTTGTATATAACCTTTTGCCTCCAAGCATGTTGCTAGAGAAACACAACATCTCCTTTTGGACTCTACACCACCCGGCTCAATAATATATAACAACAAATGCACAATAAATTTCTAGTAAGTGAAGAGATTGAAACATCCTCACTTCTTACACACAAACACAAATGTCAAACGTGTAACAGGGAGGGCTGTAATATCTTTGATGAGAGAAAACACATGACCAATAGATAAAAGCAACAGGAAGAGATAAAAGGAAATTGTTTTTATATGAAATGAGTTGAGTAAGCTTATTCTCAACGCCGTAAAACATGCTAAGAAACTTGTCCATGCTTTAAAACGGTTGCCCATTCAATTCCCAGTACCACAAAAATAAAACTAGTGGCCCTTGCTAGTCATGTGTTTACCCGGAATCAAGGCCCAACAACTAATAAGTCCAGGTCTCACTGACAGAACTACAGGACTGGAGCACTGTGACAGAATAACAAATGAATCAGATGAATGGAGCCGAGAATGGAATACGGACACAGTTTTTGCCGATCCTTATTTTGTTGTGGTTAAGTGTGTGATGAATCATTTGTTAACTGGTTATCACAACTTTTTTTTATAAAACTCACCTTTGGCTATGTGACCTTGGTAAAGGTAATTATTTACTCCGTACTTCTTGTACCTCATCTAGTTAGCTTTTCAACCACACCAATATTAGTATTTGCATTCTAGTATCTATTTTTATGCATTTATACATAAATATATAAATGGCTTTAGAGAATTTTATACTCAAATGATACTAAACTATGTAATACACTGCAATTTGATTTTATTAATTTTTTAAGTATATAAAACTGGTAACATTTTACAACAGTATTAGTATATAATTTTTTTTTCTTTTTTTGTAGTGTTTGGTAGTCTTGAACTCAGTCCTCCTGACTCATTCTCCTATTGGTATGTAACTTTTTTTTTCCTGTCTCTTTGCGACAGGCTCTTGCTATGCAGTTTAGGCTGGCCTTGAGCTCATTTTGTAGCTCAGGCTGGCATTGAACTCGCATCGATCTTCCTGCCTCAGCCTTCCAAGTGCTGGGATTACAGGTGTGCACCATTATACATAACTTCTTGATTTAACTTTAAAAAATATTTTGCCTCTAGGTAACTCTGGGTTTCATTTTTTAATGTTTATGTTCATTTACCTTAGCAAATAGTTCATAGCAGTACACACCCTCAAGGCTGCGTTTTTTGATTTGCCTCCCACTTAGCCAATAAGCTATCACCTTTGCCAACACAGTGCTCGGCCACACACTTCTTTGATACTTTGCTATTCGTGGATGAGGTAACTGGTGAGGGCTGATGTGGAAAACAGACACTGAGAGAGGAGACTTTGCCCAGGGGCACCACGTACTCACTTTTCACCTGCTGCTCGGGCGCTTTGATGTGCGTCACCATGCCCGGCACGTTCACACTATTCCTGTGCAGGTACTTGAGGAAGACGTCCGCGTTTCTCCGGGCGAGCGTGCATGCCTGTGAGGGAATAGAGCACAGTGCTGTGAGCACAACTTACACTGACCTTCTGCGTGTGCAGTGTAGGGATGACAATACTGTATGGGTCCAAGGTAACACCACTAGCCAAACAGTCATCTGGCCAACTGCTGGTTACATCTCATAATTACTTTATTTTTGTAATTTTACCTGAATATTTCTTCAGTTATATTAATAAATATTTGTTTTTCTATGCTAAATGGATTCTGGAGCAGAGAGGCATAAGTTATGATGATTGGACTTGAAATATCATAACAATGGTGGCATTTGGTAAACTCAGCAGTGACAACTTGGGGGTGGCTGCTTTAAAGTCTTGTTTGATACAGTCACAATTAATGACTGGAGGCATGGTGGTTTTCCCAACTTGCTCAAAATGAAATCACTGGGGTGGAAGTCCCAAATCAGTTGCTAGATGTAATTTTCAAAGAATCACAATTTATTTTCCAAGACTAAACAATAGTTCTGTCAGACCATCCCCTTCGAAAGGAAACGAATGGTATTAAATGCAACAGGAAATGTGTCTGAGGGTCACAATGCTGAAGCAATGAGAAAAACCAAACTTCAGAAGGCATTAAGGAAAAGTAAACATCCCACCTATTTTTAACAGTTCCAATTGCAGCAGGAAGTAGGATCTCAGAAATACAGGTTTTTTTAAGAGTTCAAAAATGCAACAGGGACACATGGTGTCAAATATTTCTAAAGATTTTGACCACTTACAAAAATTTAATTGTTCAAAGGCAAATCTTTGGCTTGTGTATAACCAAACACAATGTATAAAAATGTGACACAGCAGTCTTAAGAGAGTCCTCAGTTATGTGTCTTGGAGAAACAATATCTAGCCTCTGAGTGTGAACAATCTCTTCCTTTGGGAGGATTTCCCAAGAAGGTGCTGGTGGCCAGTCCAGAAGCCAGATGTGCCCAAGCCTTGTTCTGGTCAGCCCTGTGCTTCTGCATCTACTGCAATACAACCTGCATTCCTAAAGAGGCTGCATTTCTAAGGGAAGATTTTTTTAAGCTACTGGCATTGCTTTGCATCAAATCAACCAACCACCCACCTATCACCCTCTCTCTCTGTCTCCAGAATCACTTGGGAATTGTTCTCCAAGAACAGTAACTTTGCCTTGGGGACACCTCACTGACTACAACACGGCCACTGTGTCAGAGCTCCAGAATCATTTGCTCTTATAAATCCAAACCAATCCTTATTCACATACATTTCTAGTTCTTTCTCCATAAGACTAGAAAAGCAGCACAAAGCACATACAGAAAGAGATGCAAGATTGTCTCTGGTTAACAAGTTTACAGAGGTGCCAGCTCCCCACTCCCTCTGCACACAATGCAAGAGCAGAGGCATGGCCTCCACAGGAAGTGTTGACTGCCCCCAAGACAGCATCTGCAGTCTAGGGGGTCACCACACTGTCAGAATGCCTCAGCCATCCCCCAGTGCACCTCTGACCTGCACCCAGCATTCAGTGAGGTCCAGGGATCCAGCAGCACCAGCTACAAACCTTCAGAAACGCTTCCTTCTGCTCAAGGTGCTTGCTGATCATCGGGGTGACGTGGTCTGTCTCAGAGTTGGGGCCCAGCTTGTCGGCTCCGCCACACCAGTCTTCTTCTCTTTTGTACTCCTGCTCCAGGCTCTCAAGAACACTACAGACCTGGGAGAGGAAGCATGCTCAGCATATGATGCCACTCATTAGCGTCACTGAGAGCATTTTCAACTAGCTCGGGGGAAAAGGTGGTGGTGGAAGGACCTAGAATGCAGGCAGCAGCTTTCCCCAGCACATGGGCAAAATCCACGAGGCTGCCAGGGAGGCGTTTCAAAGCCAGAACAAAACCAAAACTAGAGTTCCTGTCTCTTTCTGAGGTGTTTCAGGTCAGAGATTTAATGAGGAGAAGAGTTTGTTTTCCCAGCTGCTTTTCAACCCAACTTTGGATACCCAAGGTAGCATGAACAGTTTTAACTGCAGAATGTGTCTTTCCCTGCTCTGGCTCTACACTGACAGGCACAGAAACGACGCCAAGTTCTCCTGACCTGCTCTGAAGTCTTGTAGAAGGCGACGGAAGCGTTGACGAGCTTGAGGCGGTCTTCCATCTTTAGCATGAGCTGCTGCCAGTGTGAGGCCACTTTCTCGGCACAGTCACGGATCATGTCCATGTCGTAGTGGTTGGCCTGCAGCATGGCCTCAGCCTTCTGCTGCACCTGCAGCGCACTCTGGTGTGTTTTCTAGGCAAGGGAAAATTCGAGGCTGGTTCAGCAGGGCTGTCACGCACTGCCTGGAGGGAACCGGGATGTTCTCCATGACTGACAGAACCAGTTCAGTTACTGCTCACTTAGGATGCTTCTCAAAGCACTGCACAGGGCTCAGTAAAAAGAACTCTAGGCCTAGCAACCGAGTTTGTATTTAATTTATCTAATGAAGGATGAAGTGCATTAAGACTTCCCAGAATGGGCCTCAGCTGTGGGCTTCGCAGCTTGAGAAATAGCACGAAAGACCCTTAATAGACAGACAATGTTCTAAAAACTTTGTTGGAACATTCCAAGTTTATCATTCCTACTGGTCTTCCTCGTAACAGCTGCTGGAAGCAAATGAACAAGTGTAGAAAAGGTGGCTGGAGCAAATGCTTTTTATTTTCACTTTCAACTTATTGTTGGGCTTCAGTGAAAAAGCTTTTAAAAACTTGTGACTCTAAACAGAAAAGGAAAAACTGAAGGAATGTTAAGGATGTGCCTTAAGCTGTGTCCTCTGGCGGTCCATGCCACACCGTAATAAACCAAAGGAAACCACAAGGCAAATCCCCGCAGTCTGGCTCGCACGCTCAGCAGGGCCGGGAGAGGCTGAGGTCAAGGGCCCTCCAAAGGAGAACTCAAATGGTAGTGGGGGGCAGTCAGGCAGCCCAGGAGTCTTATGGATGCAAGTTTATGAAAAAGAAAAAGAACACAATCTTGCATTTCACCTAAAATAGTGTAAATGAACCTACACAGTGCTATGCACAATACAGTCTCATCCGTTACTTGGGTACAGTGACTTACACTTGCCACTTAATTACTAGAAATCACTTGGCAGAGTACAGTTATTTTTTTAAAGCTGCCTGATTGGAGCCTCAGGAGAAGTTGTCCACTGGCACTTTGTAGTTGAAAATAAACTGAACTAGATTAAAAAAAAATTAGTGGTGGCTTTTGTGACTTTATTTTCTGGCTGAGACTACTTATGTCAACTGAGCAGGGAAACAGGCTTTCTGTTATCAAATGTGCTTTTCTCTCACTTGGATTGGAGATGGGTGATTAGAATTAGAATTGTCCTCCATGCCCTCCCCAGGAACCCCCAAATCAATGCTGCTGCTAAGAGGAAAGGGGAGCGGATGTGAAAGGCCAAGTCTTCCAGCTGACCCTTGCCCAGCTGAATGCTGCTGCTGGAAGGGTCAAGGCTGGAGGGTCTGGTGCCAGCATTTGGTACTGACATGTGACTGGCAGTCTGCACATGGGCTTGCTGAGGCACCCAAACCCACTGCTTTGTTGAGGCCAGGTGGAAGGCATGACTGCCTACAAGACCAGAAATACAAAATCCTCAGTTTTAATTCCAGTTTGGCCTCCCTAGTTCCTACATGTTCCTCAGCAGAGGAAACGCATTCTGCCAGCCTTACAAGACAAAGGTCCCCTGCCTGCCTGGACTTCAGCTGCAAGGCTGCCTCACTTTCCTTGGCTGTTACCCCATCACCTTCTCTCAGGCTGTGGTTTAGGTCTGGATGTCCCTCCAAAGCCTCATGCAGGCACTGGGGGCGGCAACAGGGGCGGGGGGTTGAAGGCGACTAAATCTAACGTTTGTGATTGGTTCACTGTCTAGCACTGGGATTGGCATTGTGAGTGCTGTACTTGCCCAGGGTGGGGAACTGGCATACCAAGTAAGGGAGGTAGGGAGGGCGGCATGCTCTTCCCCTTTTTTGCAGCTATAATGAAGAGTTTCCCCTTAGCCACACCACCCTTAGAGCCAGCTAAGTATAGACTAGATCTCCACAAACTATAAGCCAAATAAACTTTTACCTCCTTCATTGTGGGCACCAAGTATTTTGTCTCAGCAACGAGAGAAAAGTAACCAAGACATCTGCATCCATGGGCAATGTATAAGCACTGTTATTTTTTTACCAACCCAGTCCCAGGTGGCTCCCACTAGGGAAGAGTTAGCAGGTTGGCTCTGGGACTAGAAAGACCAGCTGCAAGGAAGGGCATCCCTTACCTCAATGGCATGCTGGAACTGCTCATGCTCTCTCTGCAGCTGCTCTGCCTCCTGCAGTGAACTGGCGGTGATGAGCCCAGCATTTAGCATGGACTCCCCATTACGGATCCAACCAAGCACCTGAAATGTGACACAGGGCAAGTCCAAGTAGTAGCCTTTCCAGTGCATCCTGCAGACCACCAGGAAGGAGATCAGGTCTGTGAGGTGGTCTCAAGTGCTGATTTCTTTTTTTTTTTGTCTTTTTCGTTTTTTTATCGGTACCAGGGATTGAACTTACGACTGCCTGCTTGCAAGGCAGGCACTTCTGCCGCTGAGCTAAATCCCCAGCCCCAAGTGCTGATCTCTATAACACCTACGAGCTCAGTGACAAACTTCAAGGGCACCTGATCATGAGATGAGAATGACAACTCTATTATCTTAGTAGGAGACGGCAATGGCAGCAAACACAGGTCAAAATAGACTGGCTCTGCTGCTACACAGCAGACATTGTACTGGGGTGTGTGCCATCTTATTATCAGGCTCCGGATAGACCTTCCTAGGACTCCCCAGCCTCACCATTGCCTGCCTCAGGTCCTCAGCTCACCTGTTTCACTTCTGCCTGCAGGTGGCGCAGCTGCACGCACTGCTCCAGGTGCTTCCGATGCTGCTCTGCTGCTAAGTCCAGCTCCTGTTGCTTTTCGTGAAGGAACTCCAACAGGTCTTGGACTCGAGTGGCCATATCCACATCCCTATCACAAAGCAGTTCCACACCTGCGGACACGCAAGGGAGACCCCAGAACTCAACCAGCACTTAGACCATCTGATCTCAACTGATGCACGACACATAGCTTGCCTTTGTGAAAGGACCGTTGTAACCACACAAGGCACCCCTGCCAGAATACAGAAGGACTGGCCTAGCAGACACATTCACCCAAGTCTCCCAGCATGAAGCATATGAGAAAATGTGAAGATGATATAACCAAGCCTGTTCCTTCAATCTGTAACTCACTGCCAATGCAGCAGCCTTTTGAACTCCTGTTTGTCTTTGTTTTTCTTCTCAATATTGAGCTTACTCTCTGAAAGCATGTCATTTATCTTATGTAAAATAAGCAAAGTATGCTGGGTATTCTAAGCTCCTAATCCTACAGCTATGATTAGTCTCTGAGACTATAGTGACATCTGCTGGAAAAATACAAACATAAAAATTTTAAAAAGTGAAAATATTTTCTTGGAATTTACATTTCATTCACAGAGATACAACACATCATTTTAAAAAATTAAATCTGTACTTGAAATAGTACACATTAACAGCCATATCTTAGGGGCTACCAAATCTGCAGCCACCACTTTGAAATAAACTGAATCCATGTGGTGACATGGATGGGATGACGTCGAGAAGTCATGGATGGATCTGCTTACCAGAGGCCTGGACTTCATTGACATACTGCAAGAGGTCTTGCCCTTGGTGAATGACATCGAAAGTCAGGTTATTCATGGTCAGGGCTTTGTCTGCATGGTGCTGGAGGCGCTGTTCCGCAATGGTGAGGTCTTCTGTGTCGAAGTCATTCATTTGCTGAGAGAGTTCATCGTTCCAAGACTCGAGATCTGAGATGATCTGCGAGGAGAATATTTGTTTAAAACCAACATTTAAAAATGTAAACTCATACAGCCACATCTTACTGTGTCTAGTAAGAAAGAGGCTGTGTCAAAAAGACACAGAAAAGGCTGGGCATGCAGCTCGGAGGTACAGGATGTACTTAGCATGTGCAAGGCCCTGGATTCAACCTCCAAAAGACCAAAGTTGTACATTTTTAAAATGGGTAAGCTTTGAGTATACAGTTTATGGCTTTAAGTTATTTTTTAAAAAAGATTAATAGTAAATAAATAAGTAGGTTACAAAGGCAGTTGAAAGGGCTCCCTTGACAGAAAAGATGAAATGATTAGATACTTAAATATTACCAAAATTGAATAAAATATATCAGGTACATAAAAATCCACTAGTCCTTAATGATATTTAAAGAACAGCAGTTAAAAAGACAAAAAATAAATGAAAAAATTGTCTCTGATTAGAAGCAACTTTGTACTGAAAATTAGTAATTAAAAGAGAAAGTAATTTAAGCATTTCACAATGAAACATTTCTTAAATGAATTTAATTATTATGTACAAAGAATAAAATTAGAAAATAACTCATTTTCAAATTCTAGCAAAACAGCTGTTTGAGACAGCCATCAACGTGTAGTAAATTACTTAGAGAAAGGCCAGGGGCAAGGGCTGGGATGCCGTCACCCAAACACACAGACCAGTCTTGACAGCCCCACAGAAATGGGCCAGCGGGGCGTCTCTCCCGGGGAAGCTGTGACACCTCACCTCTGAAGCACTCCTCCCCAGGACTGGAACCTGGGCCTAACGTGTACTCTGTCACCTATTATCTACATTTAGTGGAAATACCAGGAAAAAGAGATCAGTTAACCTAAAAGAAGTCAAGTGAGAAAATGCAGAGGACCTGGTTTCTCTGACAACAGACCCATGGCAATCAAAATGTCACGGGATTAGGGAAAGAGGAGGATGGCAGAAGGACAGCCAATGCTAGGTTAAGACACTAAGTGTCAGATGCAGGAAACCAACTGCAGCGCCTGCGCTGGCAGGAGAGGACAGCAGAAAAGGACTGTTACGTGGCTCAGCAGTTAGTGCACGTGAGTGTGTAAGACAAGGGCCTTTTAAAAAGGATCCCTAGGAAAGTCCGCAGAAGTGAAATGTTAATAAGCAGATTTTATCTAAAATACCTTAGCATAAGGACAGCAAAAGAAGGGGTATTCGAAGAAGCAGGGGTATTAACTCCTGAATTTGGGGGACAGGCACACTCTTTTATTACTAAGACTTGTAAGTAATATGTCTACATTGCTAAGCTGTACTACTTTATTAAGTTAATATATTTAATGCCAAATTAGACATAAACCATCAAATAAATGAGGAAGAAAGATTTCTAAAAAGAAAAACAAATCATTACAACTTTAATCTTTACATAAGGGGGATTTCTTCCTTGTTTGTTTTCTGCTCCTAGGGGAGAGGAAATTTAGGAGTGACAGTGAGACATCAGGTCCAGACAACACTCAACTGACGGCTAAAAACAAAGATCAGTGTGCTGAACTGGCAGGACCTAAAAACCCTCACCACCGCGCAGAAACCCCAAGGATGGCTGGAACGAAGGACCATCAGGAAAGGACCCCGCCTCAAAGTTTGGCATGACAGCTTATTAACAGCACAGCAAGACAAGACATCTGTGGCAAGAATAAAACTCAAGCAAGTGTAAGGTTTTTTTGTTGCAGGGGTGTGTGTTTCAGACGAAGCCTCCCCTAAGTTGACCAGCCTGGGTTCAAATTTGAGATCCTGTGTTAGCCTCCCAGAGAGCTGAAATTATAGATCACAACACCCAGTGAGAATTATATCTCAGACTTTGCAGGCATTCTAAGTTTCTCTCCCTAAATCTACCTATAATTTGACTGTTTTTATGTTTGAACTGTCACAGGACACTACATTAATGAGTTTGCTATTTTTTTTTTTTTTTAAGATCAGTAGGACAGATCTTATGATCTTATTTGGAACCTAGGCAGGCTGCAATGTCAGTATCCTAAAAGGAACAGCCACAAAAATCCTGGGCCCACTGCATGATGAGGATGCTATTTTTAAAACCATTAACCAAGTAACAAGAATTTCCACCATAAAGGTGATGCCACACTCCACACTTCCCATGGCTGCAGGAGGGACTTCTTCCCTGATGCGTCGGAAGAGCCCAGCCAGGCCCGGACCACTCCGGTTCTCACGAAGAGTCAGGACTGTGAAGCAGGGTCCTCCAGCCACAAGCTCAGTAGAGCTCTGAATCATGTCTGAGCTGGCCTGAGCCCGGACCATGGGATGATTTCCTCAGCTCAGGAACGCACGCACCTGAGGTCCGGCCTAACTATGGCACTTGGCATTCTGTGGCAGAAGTGTGAGGGGGAAGCGTTTCCTGATCTGAGTCAATGCAAGTGGGAACACAATAAAAATTTTTCCCATTCAAGAAACATAAATACAAGTGAATTAAAAATCTATCTTCCAAATATCAAAATACCCTGAAATAAAAACTTCAAAAAATGCTTCTGATTGCTTTGTGCTTCTTCACTGGAAACATCCAGGAAGTGGCTAGGTTTCAGAAAAGCAAGCCCTTAGCAGTCAGAGAGGACAACAGGTCCACTCAAGCTGTGAACACAATGCGGACACCAGGGTGGGTCCCTGCGAGGGAGTGTTGGGGTCCTTCTCTGCTGGCCTCGCGAAGCCAGGAGGGCAAGACTCCGAGAGTACCTGCACAGGCTGCCCAGGCACTGCGCTGGGCCAGGTTTAACTGCTCCTTGTAATTTTCTGATGATGCAGAGAGAAGAGCCAGGATGGTCATCAGTGAAGGCGACCGTGGAAGCGTAGACTGGCAGCCAAGGAGAGGCGCCAAATGAGGGTGTGAGCTGCAAAGGGGCCAGGACGGCGAGGCAGCGCGTTCCAGGCAGAGGTCCCGCCGAGGCCAGGCAGCCGCCCTACTTTCTGGTGCCATCCAGTATGGGCCTCGCTGTCTGACTGCCCTGTGGGCACTGCTGAGTTCTGAAGCCCAGGCAGCGAAGGGACGCAGCACTCTGCAGAGCCCTCAGGGCCGGGGTACACTCCTAGCAGCATGGAGGTGGCCGGACGACCAGGCAGTGGCTGTGCAGGAGCTGTGGCTCCTTTCATGCATTTCACAGTCAGTCTCTACCACTTTTGCTAACTCCAGCTTGGACCACATCAAGCTCAGGAGAAAAGCTCTTCTGCTTGAGCACAGAACTTGGAAACCACCCTCCCTTTGAAGAAATATAAAGGGAGCCTGTACTTCTCTCTGCTATTCACACCTGAGGTGTAAAAGTCCGTTTTTAGGTATATATTACAGAGAATCTGAGGATATGTCTGTGTAAAAAAATATCACCAGATTTCCTATTACTGAAAATACACAGGCTAAAGTTATCCTACTCATAGAGGGAAAAAGAGAGAGAAGGCTAGAAGGAGAGAGGCGGGAGTGGGGAGGGAATACAGAGCAGAGAGACAGAGGCATGGAGAGGACGACTGCCTTAGGCCGCGGTCCCTGCCGCAAGGCGGCCATGCACTCAGGACTAACCCAGCCTGGATGGCAGTGTCTGTCACCTCAACTCCCCACGCCGACACCACTAACCCTGTGCCCGCCCTTGGCTGGCTGCCCTGCTTGCCCACCTGCCCTGGCCACAGCCTCTAACCGGAGAGGCCAGAGCAAGCCCAGCCTCCTAGAGCCAACCGGGGAAGCCTGCAATCACTCTGGGACCTTCCACCTACCTCTCCCCTCCTCCTTCCAGTGGCCGGGGTACTAGGAGAGGGTGAAGGGCAGGAAGCAGGGACAGGGATGAGGGGGGAAGCAGGGCCCCGCTCCCGCCTGACAGGAAGGCAGGGCAGTGGACACTCACATCGATGGCATCCCTCTCGAATATGCGCAGCTGCAGGAAGAGCTCCAGCTTGATCTTGCGCTCCTGGAACAGCTCCTCCATCTGCGACTGGGCCTCGTCCAGCTGCTGCAGCACCGTCTCGATGTGGTTGATGGAGCTGTTATGAGGGGTCTTGTTACTGGAGATGGCAGAGTCCCTGTGAGGATACAGGAGCCAGTGGGAGTTTAAGAAGACAAACAGGAACTGAGGAAGAAGTCGCACACTGGTGGGCACCAGATCCGGCGACTCGCATCTTCAGGGAAGGGAGCCGGCAGGAAGCTGGGTGCTTCTGCGTAACACGGAAGACATCGCTGCCCCTGCAAAACGTCAGCCTCCTTCCTCTGAGCAGCCCCGGAGAGCTGAGGACATGCCGAGGAGTTTCTTTGTCATGTTCTCGAATCACTTTCAAAAGAATATGCAATAATTACAGAAAATTACCTTGGCAGAGTTTTATTTTTAGTCACTTTTCTCCTTAAGCAGAGAACAGCTGCTACCTGTTTAGCACAATGACAGTCATACTGCTTTGGAGAGGTTGATCTTTAATGCAAGCAATTAAGCCGTTCCTAAGTAACTTTGGCCTGACTCTTCACAGGAAGCATCACGTAAAGCTGGGAAAGGACGATTCCCTGGCCATCCTGAGTGACAAAGGTGTAACTTATGGAAGCGTCTTCAAGGCTAAGTGAAAGAATCTGTGAATCTGCTTCCCAAGGAAACCAAAACCACCCCTCACTGCCTCCTGTGTGAGGAGGTGTGGTGAGGAGCACAGAGGGCTTGGGCCCTGCCTCTGTCCAGGACGAGCGAGTCCCTGTGGCCAGAGGCTGTGCTCCTCTTAGGTTCACATTAATGAGAAGTTTCAATGACTACTAGGTAGATGTTAAGAGGAAATATTAATAAACGCTGAATTCTGAGGGTTATGAATCCATGTTACAACAAGAAAAATTATGGAGCTGGAGCTGTGAGGGTGCAGGAAGGAGAGAAAAAGAAGAGAGGAAAAAGCTGCACCCTGCTTTGAATTCAAAGGCTAATGGTTCTCTCCCTCGGTGGACAGGGAACAGAAGCTACTTATTCAAAACCAGAGGGAGAGGAGCCCCAGCGGGAGCTCGAGCCCTGTGCTGCATCAGGAGAGGGAGGCCCACCTCAGCTGCTGGATGAGGTCCTCCCCTTCCTTGATCACGTTGACGGTCACCTGCAGCGTGGTCTGCTGCTGCTGGCCGAAGCGCTTGATGAGATCCTGCACGGCCTCCACCGACTCGGCGTACACGTCGTCCAGCAGCTCCTTCTGCAGCTCCTCCAGCCATGTCCACAGCTGCAGGCAGACGTGCACAGTGAGGGCAGGGTAGGGACTGGGCGGCTCACACGCACAGGGAAGGGGTTGGTGGCAGGCTGCTTCCAGAGAAAGGGAGGGAAGGGAGAGAGGAAGAGAGGGAGGAGCAGTATCTCAAACCATTCCATGTTAGCAAAACAGAGGCCACTGCTGCATGGAGAAAAAATAAACAGGCCGTGAAGCGGAAGGGGCTGTCACAAAAGAGAAAAAGGGAAGGGAAGTCACTCTTTCCTGCTCTTCCTAGGTTTAATTTGGAGTGCCAAGGAAACTTGAAGACTCCTGAAGACAACAGAAACATCTGCTGGACACAAGAGGCAGTCTTGAGTGTGTCTTCTGCACAGGTATTACACTCCACTATCAATTACTACACTGCCGCTCAGAGGTAAATGCTTTACATCCTTCAGGACAGAAGGAAGCGTGCACGGTGGCAAAATGAATGCGCCACCATGCCTGGTGGGATTGCGATGTGGGGTCTGAGGTGACCATATCCCCAGTCCAGGCTGCCAGGGCCAGACCATCACAGGAAGACAGTGTGCACCGAAGGACACCTTCATTGTCACTACCACTAAGTGTGTCCCGGGCATCGGATGAGTAACGAGAACCTGGATAAAGAGGGGCAAGAACTCCTTCAGGCCTGGGGGGAGTTGAGGATCAGAGTGCTGCCCATTTCCTGGAAGCCCTGGGAGTGGGGAAGGGCAATAAACCAAGCAGAACAGTCTGGTAGCTTGGTAGTGAGCTCTGCCTAGTGCTTCTAGCTCCCTCTGGAACATGAGATATCCTGTCCATCTTAGTCACACCTGCTCTAGCAGCTGCCTCTCAGCAGTGACAAGGATCTGGCCAAGGAACCCCTCTGGCCCATGGTTGCTACCTTTGGGGCTTACAAGTCAAAGGTGCACCTGCAAATCACACTTGCAAAATGTGTGCTTGCACTTGGTCTTCTGGCTCATAGCTAATCCTTTCATAAAGCAGCTAAGATACAGCTAGCACACACTAAACCACACGAAGTTAAAGTGTCCCACATAGTAATTCTGATGCAAGCCTGTCCCCACAGTCACCTCTGTGCTAACGTGACCAGCTCCTTTGCATGAAAGCTTTCTCATGCCCTTTGCCACCCTCCCTCCTGGCAATCATCGAGACTTGCTTTGCTGGAACGGGGATCCTAAGCACCCTGAAACTGTGGGGGACTGATGAGAGAGGATGCAGTGTGATGCTGGAGACGTGTTAATTAGCCTAATTTTAAGGACAGACTCAATGAACTGAATAGACAAAATTTGCTCAGAGAATCCAACTATGTGCCAATTCTGCTGTTTTGAGAAATAATAATCCACCAAAAGAAGCTGGCAATACTGTATTAAAAGAATTGAAATATTATATAATCGGTGGGCTTTTCTAATTAAGAGGTTAACCTGCCTTCTACACAGCAGGTGTGGCATGGTGGAGCAGGTGACTGACCACATGGAGAAGTTGCCCATTTGCTCCCAAAAAACAAAATCCTGAGCATGTGGCCATTGTGGCTCTTGTGTCTCACTCACCCAAGGCGGACACTTACAAAAAACCAGCCCTGTGCAAATGCATTTATTCTGATGAAAAAGAAAATAAATCATTTACTTAACTCCCTTTTTTCACTCCACTGTTACTTTTTCTTCCCTAAAGCTGCCCCGAATGAATTTAGGAAAGGAACTATGCTTGCTGTGTCCGGGATGGAACTCGAACCCTCTCCCTGAAATTGGCGAGTATTCTCCTTACACTTGTCCCCCGGACACCCTGTGCACCTTGGGGTTCCTGGCCCTGCCTGGGACCTAGGCAGCCTCTCCCGTGATGCACCGAGAGCTTAGCTCAAGGTTCCTTGTGGGGTGTAAGGCAGAACAGGTTGCCCATTGGGGCACAAAATTCTTCTCTGTATATATTTTCAGAAAAACCCTTTAAGTTATGGGACATTCAACACTGAAAACAGAAGATTAAAGAACAGCTCTTAAAGCTAGTCTGATGTGCAAGGTGGAGATGTGCTTCTAGATAACTCTATGGCAATAACACGAGTTCATGTTTCTTCCCTAACACTGCTCATGAGGGGAATGCAGATTCCAGTCACACTGCTAGAGCTCAAACCCCAATTTAATGTTTCCTAGTATGTTACTTTTGATATTCCTTACCTGAATCTAGATCTTAGTTTTCTATCTCTAAAATAGGCATAAGGCTGCCTACTTCAGAGATGCTGGCAGATTAAATGAAATAATGGAGTATAAATTAAATGCAAGCTATTATACTGTTTTTGTTCTTTAAAAAAAATCTTACAATAAGCCAATTTGCAAAGATTTCATCTCCTCTAGATATTTTTCAAAATGCACCCAAGCTCAAAATACCTCTGATAAACTTAACATCCATCATCCTGCATTCAAACCTTTTTATTCCTAAAGTAGTAGAGTATGAAAAAGAAAAAAAAAGCATAGTCTAAATGTTAGATTCTATAGAAATTGCCTTCTTACAGTTCCAGGGGAAACACCAGTAGCAGCTGAGGTCAAATCTTTGCCCTTACACTTGGCAGTTCAAACAAACTAACAAACAAAAAAAAAACCCATTAGCACATTCCCTGCGATATCCACATCCTGGTACAATGTGCTCACATAGGCTGCCTCTCAGAGAAGACTCAGGCTGGTCCTGGAAGTACACAGTTGAAAAGGTAGAAATAAATGTGGTAAACAGAGCAAGGATAGAGTTAAAGCTACAGTGTGAAAGGCCTGGAAGTCCTGCGCCTCTTTAGTCTTTTTCTCTGGTTTCACATGAAATATTCTCTTTCAATATGAAGAAAAACATCAAGTCTTTTCTAATGTCAACTGAGGTTGCATTGACCCATGTCATAATGTGACATGATTCAAGCAAAGTCTCTTTCTAAGCTTTTAAAATAGTACCTGCGATGTCTAAAATATCTTGGAATAAAGAAATGAAAAAAGGATGTCTATGAAGTTTGTACCATAAATTTCTTAAGGGTGCATAAAACGAACTTCTGTGCTAGCTGATAATTTGTAAGATGATACATCTTTTGCAACAACAAGAGAAATTGCATCTATACAATCAGTTTCTACAGCAACCTGAGTGCTGTTTTCAAGACCCTCACAACAGTCAGGAACCATGGAATTAAGAAATGCTGCCCCCTAGAGCCCAACAAAGAAGTGGCTGACAGTCTCAGGGAGGGAGGGAGAGGGTGAGAGCGAGGGAGAGAGAGTGTGTGTGTGAGGGAGAGAGAGAGAGAGAGACAGAGACAGAGAGAGAATGTGTGTGAATGTGTGTGCAGAAGGGAGGAGGGGGAGGGGGAGAGGCAGAGGGAGAGGGAATGAGAATCTCCAGGGCACCTTCAGATCAGTGAAGTTCTGTAGGTGAGAACTTGCACTCAGAGCAGATCTGGGCTGCAAATAACATTTACACAGAACCAGCGGTTTTATAGAATCAACTTCTGAGATGAAATGCGAAAGGACTCCAGCATCAGACAGAGTCTGATCCAGCTACACTCCCTGCTCTGTGGATCCTGCTGCTGCTGGGAGGAAGATGCTACAAACACAGACCTATACAGAAAAGGTCTTTGAAAGAAATCCTGCGGTAAACTCTGATTTATTCCTAAGACCTGCTGGAATCCTAAGTCATCCAACATATTGACAGATCCTGTCTAGAGTTTGGTAAGCAAGTCTTCCATTCTAATTCAGCCACTCCCAGGCTGTCTACTAAATGACAGCAGGTGTCTCTTTCAGTCCTGTTGGCATCACCCACTAACCAACTCCTGCTTGGTAATATCACTTGAAGATTTTAGTATGGCAACAATGAGTCCAGCTATGGCACTATGTCCTCAAAGCAACATAAACAGCTCTCAGCACAACACAGTTAAATTCTTGGGATGCCCAAGTTCAGATGAGCAATGTCTTCAGGTGTCACATATGGACACAAATGCATTGAGCAGCTTAAGTGGTGTCAGATCAAAGACCTCACTGTGGAATCTTATCCTCATCCAAAGATGACACCAAGGGATTAAGCCAAACTGTGCTGCAGGGCCTCAAGTCCACCTGTGCTGATTAGTCTAGCATATTCCATAACTTCCTTTGTCAGCAACTTTGGTCCACTTGTGGCTTTGGAGTGGAAATTACTTCCTCTTTCACATACTGGGAATGAGACACATCTTACTATTGGGAATGCTTTTATCCTGGCATCTTCTACTCAGGGATCAGTATAGCAGGTAAGGAAAGTGGCTTTGTGCTGATGTTAAATAGTGGTTTTTATAGCCATCTGACAGTCTCTGTCTAGCCGTTTATCCTCCTGGCCCTTCCTTGTCTATAAATGTTGAAGCACCTGGTCATATGCCTACCCACTAACTCCACTACATGCCCCACACCCAATCAGAAACCTAGTAAACACGGAATCAAAGTGAACATGCTATGTTCATTCACTCTTTCATTTACTCTACCCCCTAGAACTGTGTCCAGGATTAATCTCAGCCTAAGAAAATGCATGTAATCTACCTTAAAACCTACAAATGTGTTTAGAGCCTTAGAGCAGTGGTGGGGTACCTATGGCATGTATCTTGTTTTCCTTTTAAGACAAAAGATGTTAATGAGTTGTTTTTCCTAAATTAAAACTCAGTAGTCAGGTTTAATTGCAGTGTTGGCACACTGTGATAAATAAGTGGGCTGCGTTTGGGCATTTGTCTCTGGAGTGTGCTTTAGAGTCTCTGCCCCAGATCGTCAAAGACTGTTACAGGACTGTGATTCCAAATGTTCCCTAAATGGCTTACTGGGCTGAACGTCTGGCTGTCAGCAGTGGACTATGGGACTCTTCAGTTTACCCAGTGGATCTGTAAGCTGCCAGAAGTTGGGCCTTGCTGTGTGAAGTGGTGTTAAGCTCTGGTAGGGGGTGGTGTCCTAGGCCATGTTTCCCTGACCCTTCCATCTATCTTTGCTTCTGGATGCCTCGTGTGAAAAGCTTTCCTCCACCCCACCCTT